GGGGGGGGGGGGTTAAATTAAAAACTGAGATGGTGGCTGCTAGATAGAGCTGATAGATGTTTAAAAGAATTTGGTAATATTTAATGGGCCCGAATTTTTCTTCCTTGAAGGGGAAAAAATCTTATGTTGATGGTCAAAGTGTAAAACAACATATCTCTGTCTGCAATGTTGCAGACTTTTCGTCATATTTTATTTTTTCTTTGAAAAACTAGTCAATGTAATTCCTCGAAAACCGCCTTGATTTTTCTACTTTGTGGGCAGAATATTCTGTACTTTCATGGTTTAAAATCAGTTTGCTTCTCTTTGGAAAAATAAAATAGGAGCAGAAATTTAGAAACTCTACATTGGAGTCGTACAGTTTTGCATTTTAACCATCAATGCTCTTTATTAGATGAACTCAGGACTGTTTTTTTCGTCTGCTCAACAGAGTCAACTAAGCAAGAAGCCTCACAGTCAAGCTTGTCTGATCCAAAATTATTCAATCACCAACAGAAGTCAACAACAGTTGCGTCTGCACCGCTTTTGAGCCTTTCCAGCAGTGAAACAGATGACCTCTCTCTGCCTGAAAACACGACGTCTGGCATCTCTAATATTCTGGAAGAAGTTGTGTGAGTATCCCCTTCTTTTTCCTTTTTTATCCCCTAAAATTAGTGTTTCAGAACCATGAATAGGATATCAGGTCTCAAAAGAAAGGATCCACCTTGAACATCTTCTGAATTCAAATATCAAAAAACGCCGAAACTCTTATTCAATAATTTTAAGGGGCACCTTTTTTCTGCACATTTTTGGCCTCCCCTAGGAGCGTTCCGGAACTTTTCGAATTCGTTCAAAAAATATGCTGGGTAGACACCTTCTTTTGAAAAACCCTGTATTATTTCAGCATCCTGGGTTTATTTTATGCAGCTGTTATGGTTTTATTCCAGGGAGGAGGATATCTCTGAAGAGTTGGACAATGCTGATGCCAGTTTGATAGAAAATGATCAACAGTTGCCAGAACCTGGACCAAATGTAATTCATGAAGCAGATGACTTGTCATTAGTCGGTAAATACTTACCCTTATTCTTCAATTTAATAATGTAATCGCTTCAAAGCAAAAGTAAAAAAACTGCCTGATGCTAATTACTATCCATCAATGAGTTTGCTACACGCAAGATATTCAGCCAAAGAAATAGATTCTTCCCAGGTGGAATAACAAAAAAATCATGCTGCGCACCTAAAAAAGTCTGAAATCCTCTTTTCAGCAAGCAAATTGCGTAATTTGTTACCCAATTTTTGAAATTTCCTCTGCCCTCTGGAAGTTTTTCTTAGCCATTGGCGATCAGGTTTCCTCTAGAAGAGATGTAAAAAAACCTAACAAACATCTTGCAAGTTTTATTTTGCATATGATCTCAATCATTAGTTTCCTCCTCATTGCTTTGTTTTGCAAAAATGAAAGGTTTTATTAATTAAAATCATATGTAAGCAAAATTGGTGACAGCCTGCAAGAAACAAGATTGTCTCTTAATTTCGGTTAGGTTCTCTTGCGTCTCTCTCTGGGTAAATCTGACTGTCAGTCAGTAAGGACAGCTACCCGCAGATGCGGGAAATTTGAAAAAGCATGTTACGAACTTCACGGATTGGATGGCTGACAAGTTGTACAAGTATATCACCCGATTTTATTTACAGCCCATTCACTTGTCAGACAGTAGGATCAACTGATGATTCGATCCTCAGAGATTTGATGTAATTACATTCAGAGGGACAATGGAACTTATCAATGTTGATGAACCAATTGAACTTATTTCAATCTACCAGTAGAATCGACTCGGCCGTCATGTAACAGTGACAGTTAATTTGCTCTGCTGCGAATTTTGACATTCAACAATGATTCTTTCAGACACAAGAGAAAATTTCCATTTAAAACTGAAAGTGTGATTTCTCTATTGCATTCAACGATTAATCTCCTAAAAAATCTGCCTCCAAGAATTTTTTGTTTAGGAAAAACGTCGTATGAAAATTCAAATGTTGGCAAGTCTTCTCTAATAAAATGTGTAATTTTGAAGGTATATATGGATATTTTTACTTTAAATTTTCTGATAGTTCAGATTAAGTTGCGAATAAAATTATATGAAAAATTGAAAAAAAATAGTCACAAATTCCCCAAAACATCTGTATTTTGTGCAAAGAAATTCGGCAACGTCTGAAGGCTCATACGATGTTCTTTCTTAACGCAGCAAAGTATTGAAGCGTTTTTCTCCAAGGTAGTTTGAACGTCTTTTTTTTATGTTTAAAATGAAGTTAGACTTGTTCTGTTCAAATGCTTTCATACTTATAGTTCTTGTGTTATTCAGACTGGAAATGTTCAGCTTGTACTGTTTTGAACTCACCATCAAACTCTTTGTGTGCAGTTTGCAATAATCTCAGGCTGGAAGATAAGCAAATTTCATCAAGTCACATGGATGAAAAGTCCAAGAATCAAGAGGCAGCGGTCAAAATAACGGAAGAGGTTTGTTCATGGAATACTCTGCTTAAAAGTAGAAAATAGTAAGGTTCAGAAAGCCCAATAATATTTTCACAAATGGATTGCATTTTGCTAATTGGAACCAAAAGCATTCCAATGTCGCCAAGATTTGCAACTTTGTTTACCTTGTAAACGTAAACTGCAAGCCGATTATGAACGATCGAATTCTGATCGATTTGAGGAGCTTCTGACAGATTTTAAGGCCTATCGATTTTCGATCGATTTCCAAAAAAAAAAAAATGGCTTCCAAGTGGAAGCGCCGTTTTTTGGACAACAGATCCAATAAATAAGAAAAGAATCAAGAAAATGAAGAAAGAATTACAATGAAAAGTGTACAAAAGATGATTTGTAGTCCGTTAAATTAAATATTCGCGGTAATATTCAAAATATTTGAAAGCGCGCGCGATGAACGGTTGATTCGGAAAGGTTTGTTTATGTACTGCTTATCACTGTATTCTCTCTTCGTCTCTTGGTGAATGAGTGTTTTCTTGTCAGTTATTTTACTTTTTGATGATATTATCGAACTAATTAGATCATTACAATACTTCCATTATAAGGCAGTCAATTTGGATCACATTCTATCCTTTGGAGAAATGGTTAGCAAACCGGAAAGTGGTGTGTGTGACGGATCTACGAGATGTTGGTTCGCTCTCTGAATACCGATCAAAGCTATTCAATGGTGATACACGAGGTCCTTATTCACATTTAGTCATTAATATTTCATCCGTAATTTGTAGTGTAATCCCTCGCAAGTGCGTGCTCTAATTTTCGAAAACTAGTTCGTGCCGGATACTGAGTGATCATCATAGACATCGCCGCTTATGATAATCTTCTTCGGGTAGCTTCCAAATCATTTATCATCTGTGATTTCATTAGTAATTATATCTCACATCCTCAGGTACCATGTGTCAAAGATTTTATAATATCACTTCTCCATTTAAGGAATTCACTTCCAAAATTCTGTGGTTGCGCATAACATCACAACTGTAATTCATCGGATCATTGGTAGCGATTAGGTTAGCGCAGCTAACCAGTACTAGCGTAATGGTCCAACAGTGCCAAAACACATGTAGTATTAAAATACCATAAGCTATTTGAGAAGAAAGTTTTCCCATTCCTTACTGATTCAATGAATCGTCCTTGATTTTCATCTTTGTCCCTAAGAGTTTCCATGATGGGCCCGAGTGATGATTGACAATGAACTCATAGGAGAGCCTTATATAGAAATATCTACATGACTGCATGCCTAACCAGAGGCTTATTTATCTTGATATGCTGCCCCTTTATAGATTGATTGATCAAGCAATAATAACTGTGCAATCATGAGGGGGCTCTAAGAGCCCTGATAGTTACTAAAGTCCAGGATAATCAGCGTTTAACAAGCTCGACTAGTCCAATCTCACAGCAGCAAGCGGTCAGTTTATCTTCAGTTGTTCTCAGTTATGTGTTCAACTCAAAATGTTTTAAAACACTTGCTAGCTAGAGCAACAAGTCACCGTGGACTTCACCAATTCTAAATAGCTGTGTCACTCAGAATTATGGCTTCCGCTTGTTCTATCGTACATTTTAAGGATTTGCGGAGACTATAAGTTGATTGTAAACAGCCATTAATTCCACCAAGTTTCATCAACTCCCTTTTCATCACTTGAATCTACTAGAATGTCGCAAAGAGGAACAAAATTTTCTGTAAGTACCTATCTAGCTGTAGTTTTATACGTTTCATACAATCTTTATTTTGAACCTTGAACATCTCCATAACCATCCATGCACAGCGAACTCAATTTTCAAATGATACACCTCATTTTAATACTATTTGCTAGGTTTAACAATTCTGTCTTAAAGAGATCTCATATTTTAAATCCTAATATTGGTGTCATAATAATTTTTACTCTTCCATTCAGTTTTTTGCTGCATGCAAATTTTTCTTTGTATGCCTGCACTTTCGTCCCAATTAAAATATCTAAGTTGGTGTTTCAGTTACAAATTTTCATGCGCCTTTTCCTGTTTCTTTGTGTAAAGTTCTTATTCTCTCAGATTCATTTCCCTAGATCCCGCAGTCTTGCTGGGTAGTATTTTTACATGTTAGAGCTGAGGCGGTTGAAATCAAGAACATGTTCCATCATATTTTTCCCCTCTTGAAAGCAAATTATGAAATATCTCTGTGTTGCTTTCTACTCAACAGCCCATTGTTTCAGTAGAGCCAGCCTCAATGAAGGTAAAATCCTTCTCATAATATACTCTTTGGGGTTCTTCTTTCCCCTATAATATTTGTGCAAACTTCCTTCATAGTCTTGCGAAAAAATAAGTGGAAAATTAATTAATTCTTAAGTGTAAGTAGTTGAAATCAGAATTTAAAATTCTTTATTGGATAGTGAGGCCTAAGTTCAAATTGCTGTCATGGAGAAATCATGCTCTGCAATTTAAAATCATAAGAGTAGATAACGCATATCGCCTGAGGTGGAGAGCCCTTCGGAGGGTTAGAAGTCCTGGATATATTCATAGAATTCATAGAATATTCCAGTTTTGCTGAGAAATAATATTCGTAGATTACTTTCTCTAGATACTTTCGTGCACATCTTCCAAGTGCTGATTCCAGCCAAGCTAACTTTGTATAAAAAATTTAAGTCCTCTCTGGTCAAAATCGGACCAGTAGAACCCAAGATATGGAATGTCTACTGTACACGGCCAAAGGCAGTCAATGAACTTTTATCTCCACGCGATACTTAGGGGGGGAAGGGAGGGTCGAGATTTGTGAAAGCCAAAAAAAATCCAATTTATTGCGATAGCTGAAGTTTCATAAATAAGTATACTTCCAATTTTAAGACGAATCTTTTTAAGGGAGGGGGGAGGGAATGAACCCACCCGCCCTCTTTTATGTTATCTTGGTTATCTGAGTTGATTGACTGGCAATGTACAATGGATATTGATTTTCAAAAAATTCTCATGGGCGCAGAACACTTCCCACTGACTTTTTCCGAGCGAGAAATTCATCATGGAGACATAACGAACAGAAGGAGCCTTAAAATTTGCGTAGGAGAAAAAAAATAAAATAAAAATAAAAAAATAAAAAATAAAAAAAAAAAAATAAAAAAAAATCCGCGCGTAAATTTGCGCGGAAATTCTGCTGGAACACTTTTTTTGGCATGTTAAATGAGTTGCAATTGTCCCTTAATATTTTCCTCAATATTCTTCTCTCCTCAATTCGTATTCGCTCCTCTATCTCTTCACTTACAACATCTTCGTAGTTCTCAATGACTAGCACGAGATTCGCCATATTTGAAACTAAACCCAAATCGATGGAAAACTTGGTTTTTCACGAAATCGATGGAAATCCAAATCGATGGGTCCGGACCCATCGATTTGGATTTCCATCGATTTCGGGATTCTGATCGATTTAGGGCCGTATTTCTGCATTTTTGCATCGATTTGTGTCCTATCGATTTGACCGGCCCATAAGCGCAATGCTTTTCTAAATCGATAGCGTCCCCAAATCGATCAGAATTTCCGTCTGAATTCGATCGTTCATAATCGGCCTGCAGATCATCTCATCAAGTTTTATCTTTACTCTCAAGAAACTATAAAGTCATACAAAAATTACCTGAGTAATTTTATTTTTTGCATAATTTCAGTATTTCTATTGTAAAGAATTTAAGTTGCGCAATCCCAGCAACATTGGAATGCTCTTGGTTCCTTTTTGCGAAATGCCATCCAATTATTATTATGGCTACATAAACGCATTTTATTTAATTTTATATCGCATAACGCAATAGCGCATATGTTGTTTCTAAAAAGACTCCAGAACATTAGCGCCTTATTGTAAAATGTAGTATAATTAGCATTGATTAGGCGGGTTAAAGCAGATGGTATAATTTTATTTTGACCCCTCGTCTATTATGTATAGATGCTGATTTTTTTGTAAGGCATTGATTTTGAAATTTTTTGTCAAATATGCTGTTTTTATTATTAAGTATAGTTTGAAGTGAAAACATGCAATGTTTGTTTTAATCTCTAAATATTCATTATTTTTTGTTTTTATTTTTTCCTCTCACATGTGCTAATTAATTAGTGAATTTTTGAATGTAAAATTATGTAAATATTGACTAACTGGTTCTTTAACCTTTTTTTTACTTCTCTTTTATTTCTGCTGTTGCCGCTTAGTTTTAAATATTGAAGAATAAATGAGACAAAACCACGAGAATCAGACCTTGGCATCACTCTAGGGCAATTTTCCATGTTTGTTTTCAAAGAGAATAAAGAAAGAGAGAGAGGGAGGGGGGGGAAATCATTAGTAGTATTTATAATAAAATCACAATTTATTTTTTCAGGCTGGTACAAGTGCGGAAGTCAAACTCTCCAACTATCATGAGCTTCTGAATTTGGATAAATCAGACCTTATACCGAATGTCGACGAATTTGAGTGCCCTGTTTGCTTTTCCACCTGCAAGTCACGTGAAGGGGTCGTACTTCGAGAATGTCTCCACACATTTTGCAAGTAAATCCATTCTTGTTGAATCATCAAAATTTGAAAAATTTAGTCTTACATCTCTCCAATATTTATCTTTTGATTTCTGTGCGAGATATTCTAAAGAGCCGATCCCCCCCTCTCCCCCTCTTTTGACCCTGATTTGGATGAATTCTGAAGTGAATCAATTGGATTTCATTTTGCAAAAAGGAACAAAGAGCATTCCAATGTTGCCAAGATTGTGCAACTTACATGGTTGCAATAATATTACTGAAATCACGAAAAAAATCAAATTTACATCAGTAACTTTCACCTTGAATTTATAGTTCACTGGGAGTCAAGATAAAACTTGTTTAGATAATCAGTTTATATTTGCACGGTAAAAAAAGTTGCACGATCTTAGCGACAATGAAATGCTCTTGGTTCCTTTTTGCAGAATGCAATGCAATTATTGGACTCCATTTTGAATCATGAAACTACCATCTCTGGCTCATTAAAAGTATGAAGTTTACGCCATTAGTTACCTCATGCGGTAAGTTTCTTTTATGGATGAGTTAGAAATATTTGTAGTAGTTGCTTTTTGAAAATGTAGTCCACTTTATTCATATCAAACGAGTCTATCTGCCATGGATTCTCAAAAAAGATAATTTTCTTGTTCCACAAAACCAAGAGTCGTATATTTTGAGTGGAACGACTATGGAAGTACAGCCACATGTCAAATTATCTACGAATTCTTTTAAAACTAATTCCTAATGTCATTGTGTCCTGGACAAAGGCAGGTATCCACTTTCTAGGGTTTCAAAATTGTTTCAAATTACATGGTGTGTCCTAATTATTTCTGATTTTTGCATGAGCGCAGAAGGAAAATCAGGGAAATTTTCAGGTAGAAATGCCCAAGATTCACCTGGTGATAATGCAATTTGCACGGGGATATTTGACAATATTTGAATTTAGTTACATTTTTTCATGAGTTAAATGATGAATGGGTGTTGGCGATGAGTATGCAGCTGAGGAGAAGAGGGCTTGAGGTGAAAAAATTAAAAATTTAGATCACTGTGTTTTTTGAAATTAAAGGGCTAATTTTGAAACATCTGCCATGAAAAACACTCAAAAATACAAACGAATCGGCTTTTCTGAAGGTATCAAAGTTTGAGAAGGATAAAACGCAATTTAAAATTTTAAGAAAATAGCAGCTAAAGTTTTAGAACAACCTTACTCAATTGATCACTCAAGGCTTCTTTTTCATTAAAGTAATTCCTTCATGAGTATTGTGTACCTCAGTATTGTGTAATGAACTCTAACATATCTCTAAGTTCATATTTGTAATAAAAAAAGCATAGTCTTGCTAAACATTTAATATTTGCCTCTCAGCTGAGTTTGGATTGAGCTTACTGTTGCTCGTTTTAACCTTCTTCACTGAAAATGATGATATGTAGCATCATTAAAAATGCAAATTATTGCTTAAAATTTTAACTACATGGTCTTGAGATTTTTAGAAATTGACTAGGATCCAAAACTAAAAATTGATCATTTTGACCAAAACTGCTTTTTTTTCGCTCTCCTGAACAAAATTGCAACTCATTTTAAAAGTCTCCGTTTCCTCTGGTGCATCGTATGTCGATGGCCAAAGTGCAAAACCACTCAAGTTCATTATGACGTTTCAAAATTTCTGCTCCAATTTTATTTTGTTGAAAAGAAACAAGCCAAGTTCATAGCTTGAAATTTAAACAGAATATTGTGTTGAAAAGGAAGTAAAATCAAGGAGATTTTTGAGAAATTACTTCGAATAGTTTTCCATAGGATAAGTAAAATTAACCAGAACTCTGCTACGCTGCAAACGGAGGTACGTGGTTTTACACTTCGGCCATTGAGATGTAAGAAGAGTTTGAACTAACCTGAATGAATCGGAGCATTTAATCCATGTGATGTTTATTTTTGCAGAGGATGCTTGGCTCAAATGGTGGAATTCTGTGAGGAGGCCGAGGTGAAATGTCCATTCCAAGATACGAGTTACTCCTGTGATTCTGTCATGCAAGAAAGAGAGATCAAAGCAGTAAGTCCCAGTGAAGAGTACCTAGTTCAGAATTTCTGCAAGAAAGTGACAAATAGCTTTGCAAATTGCAAGTTTGGAGGCCAGGGTGTCTACAAATCCGGATATAGTACTGATTTTTTAAGGGCGGTCCGGAAGTACTGAAAAAATGCGGAATTTCGCGAGAAGGTCTGGAAGTTTTGTCGCAATTCGAGCGAGAAATTCAAATTTTTGGAAATTTTCGAATTTCGTCAATTGGAGGTACTGAAAAAGTACTGAATTTCTCTTATGAGGAGGTACCGAATTTCTTGGGAATGGACTGGAAAAGTACTGTGAAAGTACTGATTTTTGGCCAGCCTGTTTTAGTAGACACCCTGGAGGCTTACGCCATGGTGTGGAAAAACCAGGATTCATCAGGGAATGAAGAATTTCAGGGAAAATTAGGGGAAAAACCAGGGAATCTGCTCCAAAACTTGGGAATCTTTTCTTCTTCTGCGCAGGGACAATTTTAAGGTTTATGTTATTGTACCTGAGTCGCCATCATTGACCTATTGAATCTTCAAATCATCAGATCAATAGAGAAGCTTTCATTGACAGAATAATATAAATGTCAAAAACGCTTTTAGAATCAGAAATTCTAATGTGCTCCTAAGAGAAAAATGAAACAAAATGGATGTTCTCATCTGGAACATTGCAGAATTACATAGGCAGTTTGTCTCAAGAAAATCCTGAAAAAGTGGGAAAACACTTCGATTTCTTATCAGAGAATGAAGGGGAAAAATCAGGGGAGAAACTAGGAAGGAGCATGGTCAACAATTCTAGACATTATGCTGGAGAGGTATGAGAGAACAAAGATGGAGCGAGGAGCTACAAAATCTAAAATAACGCTCTATTTGAAATTCTTTTCGCATAGAACAAGGTCCAACTTTTTTGACGGTCAACATATTGATGGCTAAAATTGAAAAACACGTATTTTAGATTGCGAAGATAAAAGTCTCCAAACGTGTTTTAGTTTTTGAAGGAAAACCAACCAACAGTCTCATTATTGTTTATTCTAAGTAAATCACAGAAAATTACAAGGAAACATTTTGATTAGTTTTCCTTGCTGTGAATAAAAACTAATCGGAGGTTTTTTGAAGGTTACAATTGAGACACGTAATTTTTGTGTTTAGCCATTGATACATGAAGAGTGGAAGATTAAAACTTGTCATCAGGTTATTGCTAAAATTATGCGTATTGTTCCTCACCAAAAAGGAGCCTAAAATCTCCCCTCCATTGCTTTTTATGAAGAAATTGTCTCTAAATTTTGGTCCTGTAGAAACTTGCTCAATCATGGCAACACCTGATTGCATTTATCAGGTTTTGAATTTCCCTTTTCTTATAGAAAATGAAAAAATCAAACTTCTTTTAGGGTAGCGCAGCTTTCACCTGAAAATTTCAGCATTGCACAACTTCAGTGAAAAGTTTCTCATGTTTTGACGTTACTTACATATTTATTTTTTCCATTGTATCGCCAGTAGCTTTAATCTACAACGCTGAAGAAGAATGAGGAAACAGCTTTTGACAAGCTCGCTTTCACACCGTCACCTTTAGGAGAGTCCAATCACGTAAAGGATATGGTGCTGCTCCTGGAGGTAGAACCACATAGGACAGTTAAATAATATATGTTCTAAATTCACTAGCTGCTGCATATTACACAGAGAGCAAATTTCTTTTAGGGTAACTTTATATGCAGATTGGTTACCTCTCACAAGGAGCCTATTTTCATTTGGTGTCCTCTGTTGGCTGAATCTCTAAGAAACCGAATTGATTTTTTCTTCATTAAGATTAATCGATTTAATGTCATGTTTCTTAGGACCCTTCTGTCCGAAATTTAGGTGGCAATCACTCTGTGGTCCTCTCGGCTAGCCGGCCATTGGGAAATTATAGTCGTATATTTCATTTTTTTGGTATCCAATGTAGCTGCGCCTAGTCATTTTTGTTTTTGGCTTGTGCCTCTTTCCTATAATGAATTTGTCCCTGTTGGTCTTTGATACAAATTACTAAATCTGCTTGCTCAAAAACGTAACTAATGTGGATTTTTCTGCCTCCAGTTAGTGACGGCAGAGCAGTACGAATTGCATTTAGCAAAGTCCATCGCCCAAGCTGAAACAAAAATAGGAAACACGTTCCATTGTAAAACACCAGATTGCCGAGGCTGGTGTATCTTTGAAGATAACGTCAATTACTTCCTTTGTCCGGTCTGCAATCGCAACAATTGTCTCACATGCCAGGTGAGACTCTATTCTATTTTGTTTCTCCTTTGAATTTTTTTTTTAAATGTACTATTTGTGACATTTTATAGGAGAAGAGATTTTAATGCTCAATAACTTAAGATTGAGATGTTGGCTTCAATGCTGAGGGGAGTGTTTCACGAACATTTTGGCACAAAAAGATCTGAAAATGTTAAACAAATCTGGAGATGTGACCATTTTAAGGTTTGAAAATAAAAAGAAAAAACTTTGTTTTGAGAAAAGGTTAATAAAACTTTTGGATTGCCAAATCCGGAGTTTGAGACTGTCGAGTTTTAATGTAACTGTACTCTCTTCATTTGTACAAAAATGAACTAAACTGCTCTCAACATATTCTTTATACATATAGCTTGGAAGTTTTTTCTGTTGAAAATTCTAAATGTTACTCTCCCCGGACTTGAAAAAAATCGCTTGACTAAAAATTTTTCTCTACACAGAAATGTAATTTTTCTCCTGAATAATCACATTTATACAAATTTACTGGTAAAGGAGCGTCTACCTCAACTTTTATCAAGAGAATTTTGAGAAAATGAATTACTTTTGAGCGCAACGGTATTAAGTGTTCAGTAGGGTATTGACTAATAGTTGACTAATAGTTTGAGTTTCTCTTTGTTTAAAGAGCCTCTTTTCCGTAGACCCTCTCAATACTGAGTGAAGATGACTAAAATTGAGATTATCAATTTACAATACAAAGTCAAATAGCGTGTATTTTTAGTCTTATTCCATCAACATGGAGAGGCCTTAGAGCGTGCGCTGCAGTCCAACAAGTTCACTTGTTATTGGTTCACAGAGTGTGCAGCACAGTAAATAAGTCAGTACTCCTGTTGTATTGAAAGGACAAAATGTCTCGAGTGGGGAAAGATAGGTGTATTACCTTGTATGTACTTCAAACATTTTGAAAATGAAGAGATGTTTTGGACCATATGGATGCAGGGTTTCAGGTGATCTAAAAATCTGAAAAGTCAGAAAAATTCAGGGAATTAAAGGCATTTTGGAAAAGTCAGAGATTCCCTTGAAAGTCTGGGAATTTTGTGAGTCGCATTTTGCAATAGTCAGCATAAATATAAAGGTAAAAATCTAATTGGAATTTTTATTCGAAGGTCTGTTAAATTGGAAGAATGCGAAAAGTTTTCAGTCAAGGAAAAGCAAAGAAAGTTAAAAAGAGTCAGGAAACAAAGAATTGAAAATATTATGGAAACCCTGGGATGGTTGAACCAGGAAAACGTGCGTTTTAGACGTGGCATCCCAAAATTTCTACTCACATTTAATGATTTTAAGAAAGTGCTATTTGACATTTTTGCCTGAAATTTGCTGAAAATCTACTGGAGAGGATAAGAGAAGTCATGTAAAATCGTAAATAATAATGAGGAAAGGTTGACTTCCTGAAATCAAGATAACAGGAAATTTCTAACATCATCATTCATATTTTTCCTGATTCCAATCGATAATTCCGGAAAATTGTCACCTGCGGCCTCCTCAAGTAATTGACATATTTTTAATTTTGAATTTTACAATTTTCATCAAGCTAATGACCAACGGATTGATGTCCTATTAATTATTTCAAAAGCACTTAGCTTTTTACGAACGCTGAAAACCTGAGTAACAATGAATGCTTTCACTCTCTCCTCTTTTTTCAGGCAATTCACAGCGGAATCAACTGTAAACAGTACCAAGAGCAAATGCGGGAAGAATCAGAAACGAATGTTGACGCCAAACGGACAAGAGACATGTTGGAGGTGAAGGATTTATTCGCCCTTAAGAGAAATTATCTTCAAGATTTGATGATAGATAGTGAGGAAATTATTTAGAAGAAAAGAAGGGAAAAAAGGAGGGGGGAAATGATTGTTTATACCGCCATGCTAAGGAATCATGCCCTATGAACATTTGCGTTTTGCCACTTTTCCTCCTTTATAATAATTTCAGAGAAAAATTATGAATATTTCTACTTAAAATTTTCTGATACTTTCGATGATATTGCAAAGACTATCCTCTGAAATTTTGGATGGATAATATTCACAAGTTCTCCTGAAACTTTGTGTTTTATTTAATGAGATTTGGTAATGTACATACTGCGTTCTTCCTTATTAGTATGGTAGTATAAGCAGCAAGTCAGACTTTTCTTTCCTTTTTCAGTTCTTGTTTCTCAGCTGAAATAGTGCAGAAGCTAGTTTCTCTGGTGTTTTAAAGAATAAAACAATATATTAGAGTGATTCTGTAGTTTTTCATGAATCAATAAAGCAATTAAATTTTGGTTTCTAAGAAAAAAACAAATTGGAAAAAACCCCCAAAAGTCACATAATGCTACATTATGTTAGGTCATTGCACACAATATTTTATCGAGAATTACTTGAAATAACTCGGTAAGTACATTCTAAGTGAATATCCCATGTCAGAAGACAAAATATTCATGATATTTACTAGGAACGTACTCTTTTGAAGCTATTTTAAATATGTTCGTTTGAAGTTATTTTCCCGATCATATTTTAAATACAAACACCTGACACTTCAGAGCATAGTGTGACTTTCAGGAATCCTCAAAAAAGTGTTTTAAAATCCAGAGATCATTTGGATTACATTTTGCCATAAGGAACCACTATTTCTGGCTCATTTTAGAAACAACATATGTGCCATTGATTTCCCTATGTAGATACGTGCTTTTATGGAAGAGCTAGAGATAGTGGTTCCTTTAGGGTGTGCCTTATTTTTGAGTTTTGCGAAAATCAAGTTGGTCAACCCCTAAAAAGTTTCTATGTAGTCTCTAAATGAACCCCCTAAAAGGAAAAAATTTTAAAAAAATTTTAACCCGTGCCTCAAAGGGCCTAAAGGGCCTAAACCCAAAATTCAAAAATTTTGGCAAGCGACACATCAATTCTGAAGGAAAATGGCAAGTTACGGCCCTTTTAGGGCAGAAATTTCGTCCGTTTTGCCGTATCTTGAAGCGTAAGGTCACAAACGGCCCAATGACGACGTGAGGCTATGGGCTGGCGGGGCGCGCCGCGGCCGGCCCGCCGCTGAGCGTGCGCGCGCGGCAGGGTTGCGTATCGCCGCTTTACAACGGCGTAGAGGAACGAACGGTGGGGTGGGAGGGGGATATCCAGTGGAAAAGCATCCACATTTTCTATCCATATTGAAAATGCATTATACTTTTTCAATATAGATGAGGAAATATGAGCCATACAAGGAAGTGATGAAAAGAGTGACAAATACATATATAGTTTGTACGGTTAGGAGTGTAAGTGGGGAAAATTTGCCATAACTACAGAACAGCCCTGAAAATCTCCGGGAAATAAAAGCTGCTATTGATGAGAGGTTTGCATGAGAGGTTTAATTAAGGACTAATTAAAAAGATAGGTGCGATGTTGTCGAATCGTAAGCCCTTTACGCGATCAAAAGCGATTAGTGTAAATTTAATTGGAAAAGTTTAAGAAAAATTTGATGAAAGAAAATTGCCCCAAATTCTGGAAGTGCTTAAAGTGTTTTTCTATTATGTGAAGTTTTCGCACATTAATGTCAATGGCGGTGCGTCAAAAACCTCTGATCTTGTAATTCCAATATGGAATGAAAAATGTAGAATCCCTGTGATACATAGTGTCCATGTTTTTAAAAATGTTTACATTTTTATGAGGAGTGGAGGCGCGTATCAAAAAATGCTAGCCGTCGATCGCTGGTTCAAGAGAATTTGGAGACTGATTTTACGGCAAAAATCGACGTGTTATTCGACATTGCTTTATGCAATACTCTAGATATCATGGAAAATGAAGAGGATAAAGCATGTTTAATTCTTCAACGAAAACCTGGATGAGAATGCATAATATCCACAGTGAAGGATACTATCCTTGCAGCAGAGGTGAGGAGAGCAGACAAGAAGAAAGCTCGCGCCCAGGAGAGAGTTTCTCGACAGGAAAAATTCACGCTCGCTAATGAGTCCCGCCAAACGGAAGAAAATAGGTTTTTTCATTTCATATGAAATTACTGAAGGTTTGATACATCAATAAGACTTTGTTTACCCTCCTTTTCATTGGTGTATTTGACGCGGCATCAATTAGAAAGTTTTATTCAATCGGTTCAATCTGGCTTCGCCAACTTACAGCTGATGTTGATTGCCTGGCCTCACCCACGGGGCTAAATGACACATTAGCCTCATTTACTCAAATCTTCCCCAGTAGCCGAGTGGTCAAGGGCATTGCCCACGGTTATAAAGAGTGGGGTTCAAACCCCAAATTAAATCATATTTTTTCGAGAAACTAATATTACATTTTTGATTATAGCAAGTAACTGTGGCGGGGGGGGGGGGGGGGGGGTTCAGTACCAGAAAATGTAAGTGGGTAAGCCATATTGAACCTCTCGAATTAAACTTTCTAATTGATGTCACGTTAAATGCACTAATGAAAAGGTGGGTGGATGAAACATAGACACTATGTATCACAGGGATTCTACATTTTTCATTCCATATTGGAATTACTGCCATTGACATTCATGTGCGAACACTTCACATGATAGAAAAACACTTTAAGCACTTCCCGAATTTGGGGCAATTTTCTTTCATCAAATTTTTCTTAAACTTTTCCAATTAAATTTACACTAATCGCTTTTGATCGCGTAAAGGGCTTACGATTCGACAACATCGCACCTATCTTTTTAATTAGTCCTTAATTAAACCTCTCATGCAAACCTCTCATCAATAGCAGCTTTTATTTCCCGGAGATTTTCAGGGCTGTTCTGTAGTTATGGCAAATTTTCCCCACTTACACTCCTAACCGTACAAACTATATATGTATTTGTCACTCTTTTCATCACTTCCTTGTATGGCTCATATTTCCTCATCTATATTGAAAAAGTATAATGCATTTTCAATATGGATAGAAAATGTGGATGCTTTTCCACTGGATATCCCCCTCCCACCCCACCGTTCGTTCCTCTACGCCGTTGTAAAGCGGCGATACGCAACCCTGCCGCGCGCGCACGCTCAGCGGCGGGCCGGCCGCGGCGCGCCCCGCCAGCCCATAGCCTCACGTCGTCATTGGGCCGTTTGTGACCTTACGCTTCAAGATACGGCAAAACGGACGAAATTTCTGCCCTAAAAGGGCCGTAACTTGCCATTTTCCTTCAGAATTGATGTGTCGCTTGCCAAAATTTTTGAATTTTGGGTTTAGGCCCTTTAGGCCCTTTGAGGCACGGGTTAAAATTTTTTTAAAATTTTTTCCTTTTAGGGGGTTCATTTAGAGACTACATAGAAACTTTTTAGGGGTTGACCAACTTGATTTTCGCAAAACTCAAAAATAAGGCACACCCTAGGTTCCTTATTGCAAAATATAATCCATTTTATGTAGATTGATCAACTACTGACTTGTGCAAAATGTACTGCAGGTTCAACTACAGGCATTTGAAGAACCCTTGACAAATGGATTTCTGGATAGATTTCGAAACCAAGCATTAAAACCCATGTTCTTCACGTAGTAATTTTGTGTAACATAGGATGTATATGTTGCAGGCAAAAAATCAAATCAGACATTTTGTCAAATTCCTAGACGATTTATCCAACATTCTCACTCAGTTTGAAATTGAACACAAATTTACTGGATATATTTAACTTGGATTTGATTTTGCAGGAGATGGTTGAGCGAGGAGAAGCAATGGCATGTCCATCGTGCCAAGTCGTCCTCATGAAGAAATGGGGCTGCGATTGGGTTCGCTGCTCTATGTGCAAGACCGAAATTTGTTGGGTCCGTCGATGTGCCAGATGGGGTCCCAAGGTTCGTAACTCAATCACTAGTAGGGTTGAAGAGAAAAAAGATTCTATGCTATTGTTGGTTCTTTTTTGTTTATTTTTCATCGTAATGAAGGAAAAAAGGCAATGGCGTTTTCCGCTTTGTTTACACCGAGTTTTAGATTTCAATGTCCCAACAAGATATAAGTGTTTTAAATGAACATTAGTTAAATGGCGAAAATACAAATGAAATCATTAGTATACTCTAACCTCCATTTTGTCCGTGTTAAAAGGACTCGTAAAGAGCTCGCTCAGAAGTTGGTCTTCCAACTTCCTGTCGTGTGAATCGTTTTTCATGTAAAATTTTGAAGAGCAAACATTGATGCAGAACTTGTCAAATCTCATTTGAACTTTCAAAATCAATTTATAAATGAGAGATTAGCGTTAATTATTACAGTTAAAATTAGTCTTTTCGAACTCCCACCTCACAAAAGATACTAAAATTAGCACCTATCTAAGTACCTTTAGAGATAATTTTATTATTCAATAAATGACTCGAGTTGGGTTTCACAGACATTTTCCCTCTCCAATGTTCAGTATGTTTAAAATTATCAACAACAATGAGCCTGTAGACGAGGTTTGAACTACCCGTAAGCAACGTCACACGTTCTCCTTTCTAAATTAGACATAGAAAATGATTCATGCAATGGTAAGTTTGAAAATCAGCTTCTGAACAAGATATCAACAGGTATTTTCAATACGTATTAAATGGAAGTTAGCATGTCCAAATTATGTTATTTGTATTTTTACCTTTTAAACAATGTTACCTACTCGCAAACTTTCATGTCTAGTTTAGGAGTTGATTCCTTGTCGAGCTTCATTTTCCTTGTGAAATTTTAAAGAGAAGTTATGTTGCTTAGTGCTGAAATGACTACTTTGTCTTGAGGCCCACTCAGCTTACCAAGTAAATTTTTTCACCATGAAGCAGTTTTGATCTACATAGCCTTGAACATTATAGATTTAGTAGATTTTGGTGAGCAGGAAGTTTAAATATTTAAACTTGAGAAACGATTGTTTTTCAATTCTGTTTAAGTCATGTACATACCCTTTTCGTGAACATTTTCAATTTGTCCATTGTGCTCTACAAGATATTTGGATGTAAAAAATAGTATTGTGATGCCGCAATCCGTCCGATCTATTTCATTGTCCATTCTTAACACAAGCTAATACTGTTACAGGGAAGAGGCGACACCACTGGTGGATGCCAGTGTGGAGTAAATGGAATAAAGTGTCACCCAAAGTGCACCTATTGTCACTAGTACCCAGAACATGGGTCTCAAATTGGACGAACTGCAACCAAGAATTCTCAAGGTGCTCTCAAGATGACTTGTTCCAAAAACAGTAATTTTATCCATGGCAACCACTGCAGACGCTCTCACCGAACTGTTCTAGATTCGGAATGAACCTTTCGCATCAGGACAACCATTGAACAAGTTTCTAAATGACTGTCAGAGCTGTTCAGCCAGATTGTTATGTTGTCATTTCAACTGGCTCTCAGACTGTATTATCTTCTTGTAAATTTAATATAATTCAGAGTTCGTCTCATTTTGTGTGAGCTTTTGGATTGCATTTCTGATTTGAAAAAATTTAAATCTTCTTGTCTTCATGTATTTCTTTCACTCTTGGACCCAGCATTAATCTCAAGGTTACTTGAATAATCTCCTGTTTCGGAAAGTGTCCAACTTNAATATTTTTGGTGAGGGTGCGTTCATAAATCACCCAACATTCTAAGGGGAAGGAGGGGGTATATGAGCCTGCGTCACACTGCATTATAAGGGGGGGGGGGGCAGTGCCAGCATAACATAACCTTCTGTATTGGTAAAAATTACACAATAACCCAAGATACTTAGTTTGCCAATTTTCTGAATTTCTTATCAATTTTTTAATTTTTTTTTACCCTGTTATGGTATCTTTTGCCTTCTATAGACATTGGTACTCTGTCGAATACAGTGTGAATATATATGTTGCAGAAAGTAGTCAAATCAGGCATTTTATCGAAATACTGGGCAGATAGTCAAATGACCATTTTCGAAGTTTAGCATGCTTTGACGAATAGCCCTCAAGTTTTTAACATGTGTAGAGTAAAAATTCATAAAATCTACCCAATTTCCCCATTTTTTCTCTCTAAATGCTCCTCGTGTGTTAACTGTAAAAATTCTGTATTTTAATAGATTCTGTAAATTTTGAGATGAATCCTAGCTAAAAGGGTTAGTGATCCTAAAGATACTGTTGTATGATGCACATCTTTATGGTGAATTTTTTCCAACACAAATAAGGAGTTATTCATTCTAAAATCAACAATAGAACCAAAATTTCATTCAAGTAAGATTATTTTACTATCTGCCAAGGCATTTGTCATAATGCCTAACTTGATTATTTGCCTGCGACATATACATGGGTATGTATATGTTACGCACAGATCGTGTAATTGCCCAGTTCATGAATTGGGCAGATTTTTGCTCATTTCATGAAATGGGCAATGTTGTTGCCCAAATTGTGAAATGGCACCAAAATTGCCCATTTCATGAATTGGGGCGGGAAAAAATCGCCCAATTCACGCATTGGGCAAATAATGAAAAAAACGCTCACACTCAATTTGTGTAATTGCCCAATTCGTGAACTGGGACATGAAAATATTGAAAGTAAGTATTGAAAAAAGTATGAAAGTAGGAAATGATATCATGCTAATGTAACTCACCTAATTGTTATTGGCGCAGGTCCTTTGCGGGTGGCAAGCGGAATTGCACTGCACTTTATTCTTGAAGCAACGGCACTGTAAGGTGCGACACATAGATTTTTTGCAGGAGCACCGCTGGTAACCCTGTCGACGGACATTTTCCGCACCAATTCCCGAACACTGAAACAATCTTGCGGCACATCCTCCACCTTCAGACCTTTATATTTCACAACTTCAAAAGCATTTCGCGCTAATCGTGTAGAAATAATTCCACATTTACTACCGATCTGGAACAAGCCATTCTCCTCCTTCATCACGATCCCAATAATATTGGCTGGATCGCCGCGACCTCGGTCAAATGTCGGCATGCGACATTCAACCCAGTGACAGAACAACAGCAGAGTCTCAGCCTAACATTCCAACGACCTCAGAGGCATCAAAGGCTCATCCTGCAGTAACGCTTCGTCAAAAAGCGAGCGAAAGTTTAAAACGCAGGCACAGAAAATGCTGACACGTGCGGAAAAGAAGTTAGCCAGAGTCAAAGTTGGGGATTGCGTTACCGTCCCCGTCTCCGAATTTGACCGAGGTCGCGGCGATCCAGCCAATATTATTGGGATCGTGATGAAGGAGGAAAATGGCTTGTTCCAGATCGGTAGTAAATGTGGAATTATTTCTACACGATTAGCGCGAAATGTTTTTGAAGTTGTGAAATATAAAGGTCTGAAGGTGGAGGATGTGCCGCAAGATTGTTTCAGTGTTCGGGAATTGGTGCGGAAAATGTCCGTCGGAAGTGGACAGGGGTACCAGCGGTGCTCCTGCAAAAAATCTATGTGTCGCACCTTACAGTGCCGTTGCTTCAAGAATAAAGTGCAGTGCAATTCCGCATGCCACCCGCAAAGGACCTGCGCCAATAACAATTAGGTGAGTTACATTAGCATGATATCATTTCCTACTTTCTACTTTTTTCAATACTTACTTTCAATTATTTCATGTCCCAGTTCACGAATTGGGCAATTACACAAATTGAGTGTGAGCGTTTTTTTCATTATTTGCCCAATGCGTGAATTGGGCGATTTTTTCCCGCCCCAATTCATGAAATGGGCAATTTTGGTGCCATTTCACGATTTGGGCAACAACATTGCCCATTTCATGAAATGAGCAAAAATCTGCCCAATTCATGAACTGGGCAATTACACGATCTGTGCGTAACATATATATTCCAACGTATGAAGATTTTCCGATTTTTAAGTATCTTACATTGCGAGATATTTCAGCCAAACTTTTTACATTTTGTAGAGCCTTTTCTGGCCTCATCAGAGCCGCTATTTGGTGTAAAAAATTTGAAATTGAAGGCAGTAGATTTTTAGTCATGAGACGTAAAAATGGATGAATAAGGTTCAATCTTGTAAGCGCAATGAACCAAGTTAAATTGAATATTCTGAGCTAAAATTTTTTTAATCTTGATATAACATCCGACCTCATTTCACTTCCTCCTTAAAATGCTGAAATATTTTACTTTAAGTAACGATGTGCCCATTAATTATATATTATATCACATTAAGCAGAGAGGAACCAACGCCATTATGGTCTTTTATAACTTGTGCATATTTATCTAAATAAATGCCCAGAGTAGAGAGCAATTTTGGTTTTTCAACTGGAAAATTGTAACGGAATTTTAAAGGAAAACAATGTGCATACTTTTAGTATTTTTTAGAAGAGGAAGAAGAAGTTGCACGATTTTGAAAACACTTGATCACATTGGTTCTCTTCTACTTAATGCGATCCAACTCTGCAAAAAATCTAATGAGAGACCAGGCCTGAGATTTAAGCGGGTAATCTCCAATTAACAACCATGCGAGAAGAAAATAAAGGAAGTACATAAGGACTAACGCAAAAACAGAGACTTAGAGAAGGAATAAACATTTAATGAACAAGAAAGGAAATATAAAAATACAAAATGAGAATGTCGGTGGTTCACAGGAAAAATAAGTATTCTAGGCACTTAATACTGGGACAAAAAATACAAGAGACTGTACTTGAATTAGACCTGAGAATTGCCAAAATGAGGCCAAAGAAATAAATCATTAACAGATATTTCATCTGTAAAACAAATTAAGCTCTTTTAAACTGGTGCACTATCTTGGTAACATACATTTTAAAAAAAAACTGCAAATGCAATATAGGATTTTACTCCTAATGGACCACTAGACACGGTGCGTATTTAGGCAATAGGACACAATATTTCCTCTCCAAAAATCTACATGGAACTTGATTCACGCGACTAACATCACTGATACCAACTCTAGACCAAGATATTAACATTCGTATTCAGCACTTGTGAGGAAAAAATTGAATTTCCCGCTCACAAAAGAAAAGAAGAGTATACTTGTATTAAACATGCACAACAACGGTTATGGCAGGTTTTTCACTCGAGCAGCGTTTCTTTCCCACCCTGTGTTCTTTACATTGTCCTTAAAGTGGAACAGCTGAGCTGAAGTCCCGAGATTTTAAACACTATAATTTATACCATAGAGACTGTCAGGGTTACATTGTGGGCAATTTAACACAAGTGGATGATTGCTTCTTTAAGAGATGGAAGTTCGATTTCTGCATTAAAAAACGTAATGTCTTGGTAAGGAACTACTTTCAGTAATTATTATTGTCCTTTCAAGAGATTTTCACAAGAAAACATTAGTTCTGTTTATGCGAGGCTCTAAACCTAACTTCAATCGAAACCTGAGTTTGGAACCTAGGTTCAAATCACGGCATAAACGATGCGGAACTAACGAAATTTAGGTTTCCTAAATTTGTGTTTGAAACCTTAATTTACACTAAAGATTAGGTTTTTGCATTCCACATAAAAGAACTGGAGGTTGAAATTCAACTTGAAATGCTATTTTCGGGTGGACGATCGGTAACATGACGACATGACATGTTATCCAACATTTGTAAACAACTGGTGCTTTTTTCACTATTTCGTTCCAATTTTGCCATTAATCAACATTTTTTGTTATCATAATTTTAGTAATTGTTGTTAAAGCAATTTAGCGTAATTCATTAAGTCGTATGTGGCTTATTTATCCTGATTTAGTCAATTTTTAACAATGAACATGAAATTATTTAACTAAACATCCATTGTCATTTTTCCAATGATTCCTCAGAAAGTCAGTAAAGGTTTTTCTAGTGAAGATGAAGCCTCGCATGTATTGTGGAAGATACACGAGATAAAAGAGTAATAATATATTATTAAAAATTAATTCATAGCCGATAAATTTAGTATAGGTTGTGAAAAAAGGGACAAACATGAAATTCAAGTTCGATCGAAAATATGATGCGCACAAACTGCGAGAAAATCGGAAAGATTGATTTCCTGCGAAAGTCAGGTTACAGCAACCGCCTAAATCCAACGAAGGAAACTCGTATTACAAACTCGGGTTTCGAGCCTCGCATAAACATAGCTATTTATCATATAGCTTTGACTTGAACCTCGTCTAGCGGTCCATTGCAGTCACAGTCGATCACACTAACTAAATTTAACATAAACATTCAAAAGGTTATCAAAATAAAAAACAATTCTTAGTATTAAGGTACAAAAAGCAGAAGAAAGAACAAGGAAGTAAAATGACTGAATGTATACAACTCTACTGAAACCTACACTTTAGAGGGGCCAGAGGTTGATCTTTTAACAGTGGTTTCTCATTGATTATGATAAACAAATGATGCACACGGTAAGTTCAAGATTCATTTCATGGAAGATATCAATGTTTAAAATATTTGATGGTTTTCAGCACAAACTGCAAGAAATTTGAAAAAGATGCAGGCAGCTTTCAAAATGGTTTTGAGATGGTAGAATTCAAGTTTTACTCAACAATTAAAGCAGAAAATGAAGTAACATGTGATTACAAGATTGTTATCATTTGACAACAATGATGAAATAAAGTCAACTTCAGAATTAAGAGAGGTGGAAAAAAAATTCACACGACACCCTCTAATTTTTCTGGCCGAATATTTGACAGACTGAAACACACTGTTGACTCTTGATGGATGGTTTGCATTTGTAAAAGCATATTACAAAAAAAAATTTTAAATTTTAAGACGTTGCATATCCGAAAGCAATATTTTGCGAGTCACAAGAGACTTAAAAATACAAATGACAGTAGTACTGTAAGAGTAAAACTGCAGGTTTCAATTTTAAGAACTTAAACAAAAAGTATTAATTGGAACTTTAAATGACTGAACAGGCACAGCTGAGGAAGAAAAATTAATGGCAGAACTTCTTTAAAAAGTGAGACATTGCCGTTGATAACTGTTCTTTACTGGACATTTTTTAAATTAAAATAAAAAAAAAATAAAAAATAAGTTGATCTTCTAAACTTAGAGGGTGCCTTCCTAGATGAGATGTCCGTTGGTTTTCGGCTGATAAATTCCTGAAACAAAAAAATAACGAAAATATTACTTCTGATAACGCTAAATCAAATACCGATACATTTTTCATAATTGAGTAAAATTGAATCAGATTCAGACCACATTTTGCGATACAGAACTACTATTTCTAGCTCAGACAAAAAAGGGCTGATCTGCAAATGGAAACTAATGGCACATAATGTTTGTAAAATGAACTAAAAATAACAGTCCCTTATTGCAAAATGTAGTTCATTTAACTATACCAAGCAAGAGGGCGCGGTTTTAGAGGACCGTAATAGTTCCTGATGAACAAACAAAAGAAAAAAAAAAAGTCTTTAGCATGGTAAATCACATGCTCTTTTCTAGTGATCTAAGATTTTCACAAAATCTCTTGGAAGCTAGGTATTTCTCAGGAAGAGGATCAACAGCATTTACATTTTTTTCTCAGTTCAAGACAGAGAAAAAAATATTAATAACACGATTCATTACCTAATAGGGACTGATTCATAGAAGCGCAGAACATGAAAAAAAGCAATGCAAGACCAGATTTGCAACATATCAAAAGCTGAGAATATTTAGACTTAGTGCAGGAAATTTTGAGCTTCACAATGAGAAAAAACACCAAATCTGTGGAAATGTTCCATTTCTTGCACTACTTGCATTATTATGGGAAGAGTTGCACCTGAATAATTGAACAGTGCATAGTTGAAATAATTCATTTTAGCTAGGAAAGAAACTAATACAGAATAGGAGAGAAGAAATAAATAAATAAAAAAAAAAAAAACAAACGAACAATCAGCTTAAAAGGTAAAACACTGCAACAGCACACCTTAAAAGGAGAAAATAGATAGGATGAGACTAAAAGGGGAAAGAAAAGTACAGCAAAAAATTCTCTTGAAATAGATGGAAAGTTTGAGTAGTAATTAAGCATTTATGAGCACGACATTGTCTTGATGACAAAGTTCATGAGAAAAAACAAAGGAACAAATATGCATAATAACAGATCTGAGATGCAAAAAGCTCATTAAAATTTGAGCCAGATGACGTCCTATCCCACAACAAAAGAAAAACAAAAATGAGTCAAAGCATAATGCCAAACTTACAAAAAAATCTAAAGTATTTTGTTTAACTGGCAGCAGGGTCTTCTCCCCTCTCTTGAGAAGCAGCAATACTTGAACAAGCATTAATTAAAACTTCTAAATCTTTATTCATTAAGTGGCTCAGGACTTGTTCTTTCATATCGCTAGGTAAAATGTCAAAGTCCTTGAATAGTAAGGGACACAGTTTTATGCTTTGATCGAGAAGCATTCTCCTAAACATTCCTCTCTTCATCCTACATGAAATAACATGAGCATACGAGGGAAATTTACTTTCAAGATCTTCCGATATAAAACTCTCCACAAGGATCTGGTTTCTGGCGTAGTGACTTAGTTGCGTTTCATCTTTGGTGAGTATATCATACAGGCTTACACTTGTGTAATCTATGATTCGCATTTTCAGTTGATTGATTTCTTGGTCAAGTTTTTCCGTTAGGTCAACCACATCTACAGGATTATACCCTATGTCATATTTGAATTTACTTAAGTTTTCCGCTTCAAGTAACAGAAGGGATGGTTCTGAAAGGCACGGTGAGGTCCAGGCTACGAACTTGACTAGATTCTCTTCATCCGGAAATGCTGCTTTCATTTTCATCAAGAAGCATAATAACATTTTTGTCAAGTTTTGCAACTTCACTCTGACGTTATCATAATGATAGAGCACATTGTTGTCTCCGCTTTGCTTCAATTGTGAAATGTCAGAGAAACGGAGAAATTTCAGAATACCAGTGCTACAGATAAGTTGAAAATTCGTAAAGGCATACTCCAGAAGAGCTTCAAAGATTCTTATATTATCTTGTAATACGGCGTAGTATAAAGGCGAGTAACCATATTTGTCAAAAGAATCGATCCTAGCCTCATACTTCAAGAGCTCCATAACGACGTTCAAGTCTCCTCTTCTGACTGCATGAGCTAGTGGTGTTAGCCCTTTGAAACACCTGGCTTCAATGTCTGCTCCATACTTGATTAGTAGCCTAACAACTTCTTCGCCATTGCTATCAGATACACAATGGAGAGCTGTCATTCCTTTTAAATTTCTGGAATCGATACAGGGGCCAAACTCAATCAACTTTTCTAACATCTTGATGGAGCCACATTTGGCTGAGAGAGGAATATACTCCGAAAACATACCAGCTAATCCTCTTTCAACCCATCTCTGTATGGCCTCTTTCATCATTTCATCATCATCTATACGCATGAGTGCTTCTAAATTGTCACGGTTGATGTCAGCTTCGTCCGAGGACATCTTTTTCTGAAGAAGGATTTTAGCGGCTGTCCAATTTTTTGCTTTACGAGCTGCACACATGGGTGAAGTCAATGACCCAAGGTCCTTGTCTGTAAAAGTCAAGTCCGCTCCAGAATCGACAAGCAACTGCAAAATATCATGGTGATGATTGTCAATAGCAATAATGAGAGGCGTTGCTTTCACACAAACAAAATCATGCCAAGTGGGATTGGGAAATGAATGTAGATAGACTGAATTTGCCGAGACACCAGATTCGAGGAGTTTTTTAACGACATTGATGTAATTTTTACCTACAGCTTTGTGTAACAGTTCAATGGTAAAATCACAATTTCTGTCTACGTTAAACCCATTCTGAGAAAACAATTGTGCTATTTTAATAGAGGTATCATCTTCTCTAAGTACAACTTTACTGAAAGCCTGTTGATTAGCTTTACTGTTCAAATCAGGGTTATGCTTCATGATCTCTGCGATAACATCCTTTGATTGGGAGGCACCAGATGCAGCCAGACAAAAATCAACAGCCAGTTTCAGAACAGACTGGTCACCGTAACAAGGTATGTTGACATCGGCGCCTCGCTCTAGAAGACACCTGATCATTTTCAGGTCCATCAACTCAACAGCTAAAACTAGAGGTGTCAAACCTTCTGTATGGCAGTAAGAGGCAGAGGCATTGACAAAGGCACCTCTATCAAGTAGTTCAAGTATCAGACTTGTATCCATTCTAAAGTCATCTGTGTTTGAAGAAAAATTAGCAGTACCGTTGCCATTGTCCTCTACAATGGAGGGTTCAGATGGATCAACTTTGATTTCACTGTTGTAAATTGCAAAGTGCAGAGGCACAAATCCATTATTATTTCTTAAATTAACATCTGCACCTCTGTTGAGTAAGAGCTTTGCTAATTCCAAATTGTTCGCTTCACAAGCTAAGATAAGACCCGTCTCGCCTGAATTGGTCTGTGCATTCACATTTGCTCCTTCACCTAGAAGATAGGAGACAGTTGCTACATGACCCTCTAAACAAGCTAATAGTAAAGGTGTGTATTTGCTGAGGTCACATGTTTCTATACTGACACCATACTTTAACAGCAAATGGGTCAAAAGGTTATCACCAATGCGGGCTGCAAAATGTATCAAATTTACATCGCCAGTGCTACTTCTAAATCCTAGATCAGTTGAAGTACTTAGGACCTTCTCCATGGTACCTTCATTACTTTCATCAACAATTGTACTTGAATTGGGACTGGGCTTCGTACCTCGATAGACGGCTGCATCACGACCGAAAAGTAATTGGACTCGCTCGTAATCATAATCTTCACCAGATACGGAGACTGGGAAAAAAGGCGTTACCTCTGAATTGAAAACGTTCTTGCTTGATTCACTTTCGATGATCAGGGCTAGAGTGTCCACCTCTTTGAGTATTAAGGCTTGTTGTAACGGAGTGCAGTTGTGGCTGGTAAGTATTTCGATATCGTTGCGGGTGAACAACTTCACAACTTCAGTATCTTCGGCAACTACAGAGGCTGGAAGCAACACAAAGCCTTTGATCGTTTCTTCAGTTGAAGATGTCCATGAACCGATAGTAATTTCACCAGCTTTCCCTTTGGGTATGAACAATAAGCAATGTATGCAGAATATTTTGGTACTTTCCTCCGTCATAGTTCAAAGATCAGTCTGGAAGGGAAGAGAAGTTTGTGCTAGGTACCTGTGGAGCACAGCTCAGTCAGTACAATTTAACGATTCATTACGTGCACCGTTTGATAACGACTCAAAATTTCGTTGAGAGGTACCTAAAGTAATTCACGGACACGCAACACGTAACACGTTATTCATTCAAAAAGTTGCTCTGCACTTGCACTTAGTAACTTAACTTAGTTAACCTAAAGAGCCCCAGCATTGTCGCTACTAAGGTTTCTTTTCCCCCCTGCCGCGTAAAAGCCGTCATCAGTGTTACTTTCCGCAATCTGGCAGCACTGGAACTCGCCAGCAGCCAGAGAGTAAACAAAGTCCCGGATTGGTCAAGAAACGGAACACGAGTAGACGCGGGAAAACTGGAAACATTTGAATCGGCGGCAGCTCAGAGATGCAACATGAAGTTTATTTTTATAGGGGAGTGAAAGCTGACTTTCAATAAATTTCAACAGAAGCTGCGCATGCAACCCACAACAACAGCAATTCGTGAACTCGTGAAGAACTTCGAATTTTGACTCCTCATTTTATTATTTTGCCTCCAAAATTAGAAGATAAACATTTCGCTGAGCACGTGCGTTTCATAGCATACTAAATCCATTGTGCAGAAGTTTTACGTAAGTTTAATGAAATTTAATTGTATACATTTTCATGAAATATTGCATCTCTGCGCGTGTCTCGCTTTGCGACGTCGATTGTAGGTTCCCGATATCGATGGCCTGAGTGCAAGGCCGCGCATCTCCATTGCGGCGTTTCCAAATTTCCGCTCCTATTTTGCTGTCAGGAAGAGAAACAAGCCAACTTCATAGTTGGAAATTTTGACAGAATACTCTGCTGAAAGAGGAAAAAAATCGGCGAAATTTTCAAGAAATTACATTGACTCGTTTTCCGAGGAAAAAAAAACAGAGTATGACAGGAAGTCTGCAACGTCGCAAACGGAGATACGTGGTTTCGCACTTTGGCCATCGATGTACTTCGTACTGCAATCAGAGAGCGCATCAACGTAATAACATTTTTGTGACGTCTCATTTCCGTTCCAATGTTATTATGAAAAAATTTCAAGCAATGACGTCGGCTTGGCTCGTTTGCCTTAGAGATTAAAATGAGAGCTAATTTAGGAACTCCGGAATTCAGATGGTGGTTTCCGGGTTCAGCCGTCGAAATCTCCCTTCGCAGGGTTCGGGCATGATCTGAAATACTAGTTTTATCATAATCAAAGGGCCCCTGACCGCTTCGCGGCCCAACCCCTAAGCGCTTCGCGCCTCGTGCGCTATATACGTTACGCGTCACTCTTGTGATTTTATATTATACAGGGTGACCTAGGATTAAGTGCGAAAATTGAAGGAGTCGATTCTTGGGGTCAAAAAAGATGTTTTTGAGGTATAGCTTTTTTTCAAAAAACGCTTTCTCTCAGGGCCCCATTGTCCCCTATTATCTCGAAAACGATGAGTCATGGTGAAAACACCCAAGATACATACGCTAAATCTAGTGGTGCCGTCAAAAATTTCGTCGCTGGCAACACCAATTTTGGCCACTTTTAGGTTTGATGCCCCCCCTCCCCCCCTTCTAAATGAATTTTCCCTTTTTTGGAGTTCAAAAATGAAAAGAGCTCTAAAAATTACCCCCATTCCCCCCCCCCCCCAGTTACCAATTTTCATTAAAATTGGTTGATAAAGATTGTCACAGTGTTAAAAAGACTATTTTTTCCCGACTTGGGGGGCCATGGCCCTCAGGGAAAGCCCACAAAAGGAACTAAGTCACATCAGTTAAATCCAATAATAATTGGACAGTATAATTATTCACGAGAGAACATTTGGGCGGATTCCTTTGAAAATTTTAACTAATTTCCTTCATACTATGCAAAAATCTCACTGAGATTTGCACAAAAATCTGCACTACCATTTTCATGCAAAAAATTAAATGGTCTAATTAAATTTGGTAATAGCAGCTGTGGCTCGGTTCTTTTCTGCTTGATGCGGCCCATTTTTCCAATTAGGAACTACAATTCTTGGCTCATGCATTAACACTTACTTATAAGCATAATTGAACTACATTTTGCAATTTGGGACTATAATTTCTGGCTCATCTGTAAAAACACTTATCGATGGTGAAACTACCAAACCACGTATCTCGGTTTGCGACGTCGCAGACTTCCTGTCATACTTTATTTTTTAAATGAAAAACTACCTAACGTCCTGTCTTGAAAATTTTCGTGATTTTTCCTCTTCGCGCGGAGAAAATTCTGTGAAAATTTCAATGAATGATATTGATTTGGTCCACTTCAAAAAAATAAAATGTGAGCGTAGATTTTTAAACACCGCAAACGAGATACGTGGTTTGGTAGTTTCACCGACGTTATGTGCATAGCGAAACTAATGGCACATATGTTGTTTTTAAACTGGCCCAGAATTCAAAGTTCCTCATTGCAAAATGTAGTCCAATTGGATTGCATTTTGCAATTTGGAACTATAAATTCTGCCTCTTCTGGAAAAACACTTATGTGCATAGCGAAACTAATGGTATATACATTGTTTCTGAATTGAGCCAGAAATTGTAGCTCCTAATTGCAAAATGTAGTTGAATTAGAGTCTGATGGGAAATACATTGCTCCTAAACTAGGTCAGAAATTATAGACCCTCCTTTATTGCAAAATGTAGTCCTAATAGTTTGGAGTTTTGATGGTTTGAGGCAGAGGCAGAAATTAGTGGGCTGCCTGTGCAGAAAGGTTTTACTTAGTTTTCTTCTCTTTTTATTCCTTAAAAAGAGAGAATCCAGCAAACCGATCCTGTATTCAATCTACTACCAATATTCAAGCCTAATGACATCCTGACAAAACAATTGAAAAAGACAGAGAACAAGGAAAAAGAAAACAAAAGAAAAAGTTGAAAAATATGAGTCACTCACGAGTAAATATCGAAGTATCTCCTCTAGTTAGGGAGAGAGATTGCTGTAATCCCTTGAGCAGTAGCAATTCTTTGACATGCATGGATTGAAACTTCTAAATCGCCATTAGCCAGGTAGTCAAAAATTTTCTCTTTTATATCACCCGGTAACATGTTGAACTCCTTGAAGAGCAACGGACATAATTTGACAATTTGATCTAGAAGTTTTCTTCTGAAAACTCCGTTCTTCATTCTGTGTGAAATAACACTGCCATAAATAGGGAATTCTTTTTCTAGATCTTCCATGTGGAGACTATTGACTAATTTCTGATTTCTGGCATAACGAGCCAATTGCGACATATCTTTGGTGAGGATGTCGTATAGACTTATACTAGTGGAATCGATGATGTGCATCTTCAATCTGTTGATTTCCAAGTTATTCTTTTCCATCAGATCAGACACATCCACTGCTATCTCTCCAATATCATACTTATCTGCGAGTAAATCATCATCCCCAAATAACTGAAGGGCAGGTTCAACTGATCGAGCTACAAAATCGGCAAGATCATCTTCATCCGGAAATGCTGCTTTCATTTCCATTAAAAAGCACAATAAGAACTTGGTTAAATTCTGAAATTTATCTTTGTTATCCTCGTACGTAAAATCAAAGTAAGAAATATCTCCGATGCTCTTGACAGTTGAAATATTGGAGAAGCTTAAAAATTCCAAGATTTCCGTGCTGCAGATTAGTTGAAAATCGGTGAAAGCATGGCGCAGAAGAGCTTCCAAAATTCCCGAATCAAAGTTTGACACAGCATACTGTAAAGTACAGCAGTCATAGGTATCAAATTGATTGATTTTAGCCCCATACTTCAGAAGTTCCAAAACGACTTCTATATCTCCACGTTTAGCAGCATGGGAGATCGGGGTCAGTCCGTGAAAACACTTGGCCTCTATGTCCGCACCATTTTTGATCAGCAGCTCCACAATTTCACTGCAATTTCTATTGGATACATAATGAAGAGCTGTTTTCCCTTTCCAATCTCTGGAATCAATACAGCCACCTAACTTTATTAGCTCCTTCAACATGTTGGAGGAACCATATTCAGCAGAGAGTGGAATATGTTCCGACAAGAAACCTGCCAGTCCTTCATTGATCCATCCACACACAGCTTCTTTGATCATTTCCTCATCGTCTATATGCATCAACGCTATCAGATTGCTAGTCCTCCAGCTTACACTGCCTAAAGCAAAGCTCTTCTGGAGAAGAATTTTGACAGCCTCTCCATTTGATTCCTGACAGGCAGTGCGTAAGGGTGATTCCAAGTTATTTGGAGCAAAGTCATCGTAAAAGATGTCCACTCCAGAATCAACAAGGAATCTGACAATTTCATTGTTATGATTCTCGATAGCGGTTAGAAGGGGCGTCGTCTTCCTTCTCTCATACTCGTAATCTTCAACATAAAAGTGAACGTACTGATAAACAGCATTTGCACTAACACCAGAATTCAGAAGTTCTTTGACAATGTTAATGTGATTTTCACGAAGAGCAAAATGTAATAGGTCAAATGAGAAACTTAATTCCTCTTTTACGGTGAACCCATACTGCAAAAGCAATGAAGTGATTTCACTTGAAATATTATCCTGCAGAATACCTTGCGTTAGAGCTTCTCTACTTGCTTTGTTGTTTAAATCAGGCTTGCATTTTAAAATATCAGGAATTAGAGTTCTTGCACAGTCAGAAAAGCTGCTTGGATACTCCTTACAAGCATCAAGGAAGATTTTGAGGAAACTCAAGTTCCCATAACATGGAATGTTAACATCAGCACCCCACTCTAGAAGACACTGAATTATTTTTGGTACTCCTTTATCAACAGCTAAAACTAACGGTGTGAAACCTTCTGTGGAACCGAGAGAAGCACTAGCATTAATGAAGGCACCTCTGTTCAAAAGCTCAATTGTCAACTTTAAATCCCATTCCAAGCTGTTTGTATTTGTTGAAGCATGTGACACTACACCTTGGTTTTCATTGTTCGGAGGACTGTTCAGAGAGGGTTGTTCTTTGAGTTCACTAAAATGAATTGCAAAATGCAAGGGTGTGAATCCTTTCTTAGTTTTGCAGTTTACATCAGCACCATTATCAAGGAGGATTTTTGCTAGCTCAAAATTGTTCTGACGACAAGCAATGTGCAAACTTGTCATACCAGATTCATCCTGTGCATTCACAGCTGCCCCTCTTTCCACGAGCAAAGAAATTGTTGATATATGACCATTTTCGGAAGCTAGAAGTAAAGGTGTGCAATGGTACTGGTCCTGTACGTCTATGTCAAATCCATACTTTAACAGTAAATTGATTAGAATGACTTCATCCGCACAGGCAGCAATATGCATTAGTGTTCTACCGCCACTACTTCTGACTCCCAGATTGACTGAAGTATTTAAAAGCTTCTCCATGATTTCAGTATTATTTTTGTCGATAATTGGCTGATCATGAGACTCAAGAGCAGGAAGACCTCGATAGACCCCTGCATCCTTACCAAAAAGTAACTGGACTCTTTCATAATCGTACGCACCACCTGCGATACAGACAGGAAAAGGGAAAAGAAAGCTCCCAGAGGCTGAATGCTCTTTTAAATCACTTTCAACAATCAATTCTAAAGTATCAACATCTTTGCGTGCAATGGCTTCTTGTAAAGGTGCACAATTGTCACTGGTAAGAATTTCAACATTATGGGACACGAACAGCTCCATAACATCGGTATTTTCCTTTAATGCACAAGTTGGGAGCAAAGCGAAACCTTTGATTCCCTTGGTGGTGGTAGACAACCATGAGTTATTGGCAATTTCATTGATCTTGCCCTTCGGCAAAAACAACAAGCAGTGAAAATTTATTACTTTACTATCATCTTCAGCCATCCTTCTCCGATTAAAAATGCCTTCTTAAAGAACAATGCTTCCGGAGATGCTTCGTAAAACTTTCTCACAGTTTTTGAACGATGACAAGGTCGACACACGATTTCGATGATTCAAGCAGGAACACTAAACAACCAAACAATCAATGTATGGAATTTCAAACTGCTCAACTAAGTACAAGAGACAACTTTACGTACACAGTTCACAGAAAAGGAAAACACGAACACGAGAGAAAAACATATAACCTAAAAAGCACAGCATGACCAATTTCGACAGTGTTGCCATTTGGAGCGACAATTGTTAAGGTATGACAACTTAAAGGTCGTTTAATAGTTGATAACATTCGGTGTTGAGCTGTTTCGCATATAGTGTGGTGGCTGTTTGTCTTCTTTGACCAAAGCCAATTTTCCTTTTCATTTTCTTGTACATACTACGATCTTAAATAAATAAATAAACAAAATCCAAGTGGCAACACCGACGCTTGCCGCGATAACATAAACAAAGTACGTGATTGGCCAGGAACCGGGACATGATTTACGGCGGTAAAAACAAATATATCAAGTCTCCACATTGAGGGAAACAGATGCGCGTTATGTCACATTATTTTTTCAAAGGTTCAACAAAATTTCCCAGTGATCTTGAGTATTAGGTATTAGTACCGACCGATATAAATGCACGCCAGTGGCGAATCCAGAGACAGTCGCAGAGGGTGGCATTTGATGATGTAGAGGGGGGGTCTGCCTGCGGTGACACCCCCGCAGGATAGGGGGTTCCGGGAGGCCTCCCCCGGAAACATTTTCGGGAAAGAAATCCCTCCACAGGTGAATCCAGGCTTCGAACTTCGCGATTTGACCACCACGTCGCACTGCTCAGAATAGCCGGATATATTTGCCAAAATAATGAAAACCGCAATACTTATTAAAAAAAGTAAAAAAATCTTCTCAAAATTCCCAAAAATAAAGTCGTAACTACAGCGGAAAGTAATTCCCATTGCGGCAATGAGAGAGAGAGAGAGAGCCAGAACATAAGGGATTCCGTTGCGCGCTCGACCGCCGCCGCTGATTCTGAGCTGAAAGTTCCATCAGTACTTTCTCTGCGTTTGTGATTCAAATTGCCGATATTTTTGGCTCAAAAAATCAAGCAACAAATAATCTATATCTTGTGAATCTTCTGCGGTTTGTATTTTGAGGAATATTATTTCAGGAATATCGTCGACGGAAAGTGAAATTGTCAGAGGTGACTGGTGGCGCTATCTCTAATATTGAATTATCCCTAATCGAACCCTGGATTCACCTTACCCTTTAAAGATTTGTGAAATATTTCAGTGTTCCAAATTGCCTGCTTTTGATCTTCGTGATTTTTCTTAAATAATTACAGTATTCGACGCTGGGGTGCGGGAAATCGTTCACAAATTACGAAACGCTCTAGGGAGCCAAGGAGAACGAGCCTGCGTTACGCTGCGTTTTAAAGGGGGAGTGGGGGGGGGGGCAGCGCCAGCGTCACGTAACCCTCTCTATTGTTGAAAAAAACGCACAAAATCCGAAATGGGTCATCCTCATTTCTTCAACGTTATTTGTCACATTATTATTGAAAATACTTCAAATATTATCCAGCAACATAAGTATTGAAGAGTTTCCCAAAATTTTTGGGATCTTGAGGAGGGAGGAATTCGTCGAGCGTTACGTATTTGTAAAGGGGGGCCCGGGGTTGCGATACGAAGCGTTGCGACCCAAGTAGCATTTTTCAACGGAAAAATCGCGATTTGTTGCGATTGTGTCGGCGATAAAATCGCTGAGATCGTCAACATCTGAGCGATTATCCTCGATCTTGTTGCAATAAAATCGCGATTTTATCGCCCGGCAGTTTATCGAAATATTATCGCAACAAAAATCGCGATATACGGCGATTTAAATCTCGATTTTATCGACGAAAATTGATCGCAATTTAATTGAACAAAAAATTGCGATGCATGGCGATTGCGATGCATGGCGATTTAATCGCCATAAATCGCAATTTTTTGTTCGATAATATTGCGATAAATTGCCACCGATATAATCGCGATAATCAACCGATAAAATCGCTATTTATCGCGATCACTGCTACTTGAGGATGGGGAAGGGGGGTGTCGAAAAAGTGCGTTACGCAATTTACGAATGCTCCTTGAGATAACCGGGAAAATTGGGAGCAGTACTGCCGTGCTAAGGAAAAACGCTGTATGAGTCTTCAGGAATTGCCGAATCTCCCCTGATAAAATAGTAATTTTCGAGGACAGCTATGAATATTTCGACCGCATTAAGCAGAAAAGAACCAAGCCGCATCAGCTATCGCCCAATTTAATTGGACAATTGTATTTTTTACATGAAAACAGTTCGGCGGAATTTTGTCCAAATTTCAGTGAATTTTAGTCTACATGGCACGAAGCAAATTCCTTAAAATTTTCAAAGGAATCCGCACGAAGGTTCTCTTGTAAAAAGTTAAAGTGCCCCGTTAAATGCGGCAACAGCTGTTGCGGCTTGGTTCCTTTCTGTTAAACGCGGTCCATTTTCCCATAAATTTTTCCATAAACTTTAAATAATACAATTGCGAGTGGAATTCTCTGAAAAATTGGAGGAGAAATATCCATCACTCCAACAGTTTCCTTCAGAATAGAGTTGGGAACAAATTATTCGGAAATCATTTGGTCAATCAGCAACGTCCGATCAATCGTCAATCGGACGAATAATTTGACGATCGATCTATCTTATCAGGTAGAGAATTCTGAGGACCGAGCGACTAATCAAAGTTGCCGCACGTGGATCGAGTCAATCAGAGAGGTCGGACATGAAATTTTGGACTAAAACTGCAAATTTTGGTGTTCATTTGGTCACATTTTACATGTAACGGGTTCTTCAAGTTGAAAATTTCTCGAAGAAACCAATGGAACTACTTTCAGAACCTCAACATTTTGTAGAAACGGAGTTATAAGCGTTTAAAGTTTCCAGATTTTGTCCGACCTCTCCTATTGACTCGATCCACTGTGTGCCGCACCAATTTCAGTAATTGCTGAAGTATTTGCGCCCGACTCTGCTTCAAAATTCGTATTTATCGGAGGAAATTTGGCAAGGCCTGAAGGCTCTTACGGCGTTTCTCCTTAGCACGACCGAGTAAGAGGGCAGTAGCGCAATTCGACAGAGCAAGTCCGCAACTACCTATCTTCGGTTTGCAGGGTAGCAGACTTCCTGTCATACTTCATTTTTTAAATGGAAAACTACTCCATGGCGATTCCTAGAAACTACCGTGACTTTTCTTCCCTGAACACAGAAAATTCCGCGGAAAATTCAAGGAATGATGTCGCTTTGTTCTCCTCCAAGAAACAAAATAAGAGCGGAGATTTTTAGACACCGCAAACGAGATACGTGATTGTGGACTTACACCGTCGAATTAGATCTTGAAACCACCGTCGGTATAAAGGTATGCTACTTATACTTCCCGTCTCCCCTTTCTTCCTCCTCCCTTCTGCCGCGGGCTGGGGGATGCCACCCCCCCCCCCCCCCCGGATCAGCCTCTACTGCGAGCAGCAGAAATCGTATTGACTTTGATAACTGACAATAGCGCGCGATGGGTTATCATTCTGCGATCCGACTTTTCACGATCGGGCGGATGCGCCGTGCCGCACAGTGGATCAAGACAATAGAGGAGGTCGGAAAAACTTTGGAAACTTTAAACGCTTATAACTTCGATTATACAAACTTTAAGGTTCCAAAATTGGTTTCATCGGTTTCCTCGCGAAATTTTCTTCTCGGAGCACCCCATAAAATTTAAAATGCGACGAAATAAACGTCAAAATTTGTAGTTTTGGTCAAAAATTTCATGTCCGACTTCTCAGATTGACTCGACGCACCGTGCGTCGCCACGATAATCAGCCGCATCTTTTGGGCGCGGGCGATCAGCAGATCCTATCGCTCCATCACCAAGTCGCGAGACTTCACTTCAGGTTGATCGACTATCGAGGAGTATATCAGTGCGTGATGATCAGCCGGAGCTATCTCGTCAAAAGTGGAATTCTAGAGGGTGACTAACGTCCCAGTTCATTACGTAGTCTTCAGGTATGTACCTAAAACCACGGTGTTCAAAATTCTGGGATCATCTCATTCCGTGACATTTCCCAGCACGGGAACTGGGAACTTTGTGGGGAGGGCAGAAGAGCGCTTCATCAAGAGGGTTCTGAGGGACAGTGCCCCCGGGCCTGAAGGCCCGGGGCACAAAAGGAAATCCCATCAGGGTAGATTTGTTGAGCTTCTTCGGTTCCAAGGGAGGGTCAAAAAAATTTCCCTGGCTCAAAAGGAGAGTCTGAGGGGCCTCACCGGAAAGGTTGAGTCGTTTCAGGGGTGATTTCGACCTGACCTCACCGAAAAATTGATCAAATTAAAATTTCAAAGATGAAAGAAATGCCACGCACTTACTTAACAAAATTTTGCAAATTTCGTGAGGGACCATTTCGACGGTGAAACTACCAAACCACGTATCTCGGTTTGCGACGTCGCAGACTTCCTGTCATACTTTCTTTTTTAAATGAAAAACTACTTAACGTCCAGTCTTGAAAATTTCTGTGATTTTTCCTCTTCGTGCGGAGAAAATTCTGTGAAAATTTCAAGGAATGATATTGGTTTGGTCTACTTCAAAAAAATAAAATGCGAGCGTAGATTTTTAAACACCGCAAACGAGAAACGTGGTTTGGTAGTTTCACCGTCGATTTGGATTTTCCCAAGTTCCGCCCATTTTTCCTTGATTTTAGAGGGGCAAATCTTTGGTTGAAACTTCTGAGTTTCCAGATCAGAGGACTCCCTCTCTTGGATTTCAGACTCTTTTAACTTTTCAAATCTACCTAGAGCACTGAAGTACTTTGCCTTCATAAGACATTTTTCACGCTGAGCCCTTCAAAATTGAGGGGGAGGGTGTTTCATAATACCAAACTCGAAGACTTGGAAATAGAGGCTACTAATCTCTATGACCATAAGCTTGCCTTGAAAATTAAGAATACGATCACAGGGAGAAAATTGGATTAATTTCCCCTTGTCTCTGAACTGAATTGAATCAAATATTCAGGGTGACAGGTTTTCTTTGATTTCAATATTTTCTATTCTTTCCATGAATTTTAAGGGCATTAGAACGTAAGATTCTCTGACTTTTTAATCAATGGCAAAACTCCAAATTGACATATCTCAGTGATGGCATTTAAAAATTTCAGCACACCTTCTATTCTTGTGTCAATTACCTACTAAAAAAATAATTTTTGAGGGGGAATTTGGATATTTTGAAATCAAAGTCAAGATACCGAGTTTCACCGATATACATTTTTCCAGCGAAAGCAGGGTAAATGGCAGATGACATAGCATTTGAACCAATTTTTGGGAAAATTGACTCTATGCTTCAGTTTGGCTGGACACAGTGCCTGATTCACGTTAGGAATGGAGATGTTGCCAGAGTTCAAAAAATGATTTCAGAGGGATACACTCCCAATGACTGCAACAGTTATGGTACGTCCATTTTTGATAAGTTGAAAATTTTACCAAGACCTTACGCAAGAACAGAGAGGTGTCTTAAACTGATATTAGCCTTGAAAGATAGTTCCATGCATAGATAGAAACGTAGATATTGTTTTTGATCAATCATTAAGATGAACTAAAGCTAAGGGTATCTGCGAATATCAAAGATACCACGGAATTTAGAAAATGAAATAACCTAACATTTCCCTACTTTCTCTGACTCATTTTAGTAAAATTCTCAGCCACCTGAGGAAATGTCCGCGCAAAATTTGTTCTTCAAAACGTCACACTCATTCAAACACGTAAATGAAGGTGATTTAACAATTTTTCCTTGTCATATTCATTATTTTACTTGACAATTTCAGGTTTTCCCTGACTTTAAAAATGTCCTGAAATCTCCCAGTTTCGACCGAGGCAATTCCTGTTTACTGGTTCTTCTTAACAGAGCACTTTGTCACAGAAAAATGATTTTCTTATTAATATCTTTAGATATAAATGAAACTTGAAAAAAGAGACCAGTATGCTCCAGATCGATGGTGAAACTAAAAGACCACATATCTCGTTTGCGGTGTTTAAAAATTTCCGCTCCCATTTTATTTTTTGAAAGAGAACAAATCAGTATCATTCCTTAGAGTTTCCAATGGGTTTTCTTTGCATGGAGAAGAAAAATCACGGAAATTTTCAAGAATTGACATAGAGTGGTTTCCCATATAAAAAATAAAGCATGACAAGACGTCTGCAATGTCAGAAATCGAGATACCTCGTCTAGTGGTTTCACTGACAATATTCTACAAAGAAATACATCTCTCCTATCACAGGTGGAGAATTCCAGCTTAAAGCTATGGTGTGTGTCAAAAATGCTCTGTCACAGGCAAAAATTTGCAGTATTCTAGTTTTGGTTTGATTTCCTTCACCAATTTTTTTTTACCACTTCTCTGATGTAATCTGTTTCTTAGGACTAAGTTCTTTGACGGTGTCAGTGATCAGTAAGAATGAGCGTATGGTCGAGACAATTTTGAACACAGAAAGCTTCACTTATGATAGATTAGCTAGTGAATTGATAGACCCTGTAAGTTTGGCAAGCTTGCTAGGGCTGCAAGGAATTGTCCTAATATTACTGGATAAATTTCCCAACCTCGTGAACAATAAGAACACGACCTGTGGTAAGATCCTTGTTCTAATTTATTTTGAATTTGACTACACAGATTACGATTTTAGAATGTTCAGTTTAAATGAAAAATCGGTTTTTTTAATTGATTCTACGTTTTTTGGACTGTCTATCCTCAGATCAACCATCAATTGCCGGCCTCCTATGGTGTAGTAGTTGCAGCGCTAGCTCCATGATCAGGAGGTCCTGTGTTCGATTCCCGGCCAAGCGACCCGAGTTTGATGGTCTTAAACAATGGTTGCCTGGGACTGGTTGTTAGGGACGGAGGGGAGATGGGACTAAAGCGCAGGATTAGCTCTTGTGGGCTATTTAGAGTAGTAAAAAAAAAAAAAAAAAATTATTCAACTCAAATTTAAAAATAATCAGTATATTCCTCTTGACCGAATAGGTTTTATTTGGTTCCAAATTTCAGACCTGGTTACATTTTTGGAAAAATGTTCTATCTCTTTAGAGCGGCGTGAGTCTCTTTGCATAATTTTAAGATTTCTGCAGACTCCCTACAGGATGTTTTCTAACGTTCCCTTTTGAATTTTCTTGATATTTTTATGAAAAATCCTGATTTTATAATTTACTGTAACTTATTTTATTTTTTTATTCATTTCTGAGGGCACATTCAGATTTGTGATTGAAATAGCATTATTGCCACTGACATTAAAAACAAAACAGTTTTACCGCAGAAAAAGAAAATAATTGCGAATTTTTTCACTTACTTCCTGGTGAATTTCCTAATTTTCAGAAGATTTTTTTGTTCTCTTATTCTGGTTCTTAGAGATGAAACAATTTTAACTCACTTAATGTATGCTTTCTTTTTTCATCAGGATACACACCGATTTTTTTTGCTGCAATCAAGAGACACTACAGAATTGTTCAAATCCTGATAGCAAGAGGTGCTAACTTGAGCATTCGAAACACAGCCAACCACACACTTCTGGAAGTTGCCATGATGATGAACGACGCAGAGTTGGTAGCTTTCCTTAGTGCTAAGTCAGGGGTCGATGACTTACGGAAGCCGAGGTGCCACCCCCGTTTGTACACTCCCCCGCGTTGTCTAAAGCAGGTCGGAGTGTCACCCCCGTCACCAGCAAAGCCATATTCAAAACCTGATAAGAGGAAATTAGCCAGCCCAGTATCCACGCCAAAAAGTCGACCGCTGCGTCAGATAAATAATCAAAACCTTCCAAACAGGAACATCACTCTTCAAAACAACTCTTTCGAACCGAATGACCAGTTTTCAGACATCTCCTTTTCCGACTCTTCAAGTTTTTTCTCCAACGATTTCGTACCACTTGCAAAATCTTCTCTTGCCTTCAGAAACTCTTCTTCATCGAACATTCCCTCCTTCAATTTCAACAATTCCAGTTTCTGTGCCTCTCCTAAGCTCCAATCTGCAATGCTGTCTTCACCATATTCTTTCCAAAAGATGCCCTGTCCATCACCCAGACTTCCATTACCAAACTGCACCTATTATCACTATTCAGTATCCGACGTTCCAACGCTAACAACATCTCCAGCAACTCCATACTTGTCGTCACCAGACTGCTCCTATTTTCACTTTTCATCGCCGACACCTCTCCAGAACCATACGCTTCCACATACTCCACTTACCACTCCTAAAAATTTCTTGCATCCCACTAAGAGCTTCGCACCCTCCCAAACACCAGTCTCAACCCCAAAATTTGGTCAATCCTTGATGGTTCCTCAACTCCTCAACACACCTCAGACACACCATCGTAAATTTTTACACCCTCAAAAGCTGACGTTTCAACAGCCTAGGTCTTTTATCGCCTCATACGTGACTCCGCTACGAACTAGGAACAAGAAGGTGCCATTGAGGACTAAACTGCTGGATAAACTGTACAGAAGGTATCACTTCAGTTTCTGTATAATTTTGAAAAAAAAAAATTTATTCAAAATCTCTTGCCGATTGGAAAAAATCACGATGGAAATGTCGTCTCTAAAAATGTTTCCAACAAAAGAACTATGGTACAGTGCGATCCAATTCTTTAAAAAGCGCACACACTTGTCTCAAAACGAAATATGCTCAAGTTGATGCGACTTAAAGCTAGATTCTCATGAAGGAGAAATTTTTTTTTGGACACTATTAAAAAAAAATCTTTCATGGAGAAAACTCTACCCAAATTAGTTTCTCAGTCGCATAGAAGAAAAAATTGTGTTGAAAGAAACTGACTGATTCTGGATAAAAAACTGGAATTATTATTAATTGACGGCGAAGATTTTCTCTAAAAGTGGTTACATATGTACACTATCTTTTTAAATATCATAAAAATAATTTACCTAACAAGACATAACATGATTTTCTGAATTCTTTTTTTGCATTTCAGAGAGAAGTTGATAAAAAATGATGAAAATCAAAATTTGGCACCAATATGTGCTGATGATCTCAAGAGTGTTCTGGAGTATTTGGGACTTGAAAAATACTATAAACTTTTTGAGTTGAATCAGGTAATTTGCCTTGCAACATACTGTTAATTTCTTGAGTTATTTGGAAAATGGGTGAACTGATTTTTCTCAGTTCTGATCAGATACATTTCGGCTGTGAGATTTCAAAACGAGTAAATAAAAATACAATAAATTCAAATAAAAATCTCTGGACACCCGTTCAAATTCACATTTATGCAGGTTGTCAACGGACACAATGCGAACAATTTCCCTAACTTTTCCAGGTTTTCAAATCTAAATTATCAAAATTCATTGACTTCTCACATTGACAATTATACATGCATACCTAGATGTGAAAATTTTCTTTGGAATTAATTTCCCTGCTAATGACGGAAAAAAATAAACCTATTTTCTTCAAGTGCTGATCATTTACTGGACTAAAATTGCAACTTGTTGAAAACTATTTCTCTATCCAATATTCAGAGTGCGGTTTAAAGCCAAGAAAGATGCTAAAACATTGTGTGATTATGTGGACAGCACTGATCCTTTTTTAGATTTCAAGTTGCCACATTTTTTAAAATTCCTGGCTTTACACAAAATTCCCTAGTTTTTCGGTGATTTCCCTTATCTGATGAAATTCCTTAACAATAACCTGGTTTTCAGACCTGTAGACGTCCTGTATCACCAAAACTGTCTGTTGTATCTCGATGGCCAAAGTCTGAAGACATTTATCTCTTACGTTTGTGACTTTGCAGACTTCCAGTCATAATTTTTTTTTTCTTTTGGAAAACTAGTAACTGTGATTTCTTGAAAACTTCCCTGATTTTTCTATTCTGTGGGCAGAGTATTTTGTTAGAATTTCGAACTATTAATTATGGTAACGCACTTTGGCCATCAATCTGGGAAAACCTAGATTCTTTGTGACTCACATTAGGTGCCACCACAAGACTTTGAAAAGGCGGTAACAAATCCTTGTCTAAAAAGTTAAAAGCAAGAGTGAAATAAAAGACATATGCTTTTATGTACTTCAGGTAGAGCCAGAAATTTTGAGTACTTTCACTGACGTCGATTTGGAAACGATGGGAATTGAGGACAAGAAGACTCGCAAGACTATTTTGAAAAAAATCAGGAAAGGTTTGCTTGATGCAAACACATGACTTTTTCAGTGTTTCGGTTCTAGCTATTAAGATTTTCTTCAAGTTTTAGGCGTTTATCAGTTAATTTTTGCGCATGTTTTCTACTTGAAATGCATGACTGCTTAAGATTAACATCTTCTGTATTGGCTTTTTAGATTTACTTTTAGTTTAGGGCTTTTATTAGTTTAATTACCGCACGTTTTCACAAGTTTAAATTCATGACTGCTTAGCATTAAGATCTACATACTTTTCAGTTGAGTTTTAGCATTTTAGACTTACTTTGAATTTAGATTTTATAAGTTTTAATACCAAATGCATTTTCTTTGTAAAAATTTGGACCAGTTATATTTGATGGACATTAAGAACTGATTTTTGACAACTTTTATCTATTAATATAACTTTGAATGGCACAGTGCGTTCTCATTTGACAGTTTTAAAAGTTTCTGCATTTATCTTTACTTTTTCAAATTTGCAACACTATAAGACAAAAGCTTGATTATTTTCAACAACTCGCAGATTTACTGTTTCTTAGTTACAAGTTCACAACTATTCATTACTTCTAGATTTTGTATTTTTAATGTTTTATATGATTATCATTATTAACACCAATATGCCATCAATAAAGTTCATTCAATTTAGATCCCTACTTAATTACATTTTTTTTTTCAATTTTGAAATTCCTGAGGGTAGCGTCATTCTTTGCAGACATGATAGAGAAAGGAATTAAAATCATATGTTCTTGGAACCACTGCCCCGATTATAGAAAAATGAGGCATTTTAGGGGAGAACACTTTAACGTGAGTCATTTTGCAAAATTTCAGAAAGCTGAGCCGCGAAGCATGAGCAGGTGCCTCAAGTTGGTTGAAAGTTACAAATTTTATAGGACAATCTTCTCTTACATTCATTTTTCTACCTTTTGGCATCTACAACAGGCCAATGAAAACCTTTCTATTGTTTTTCTAGAATTTTTAATTCTGGCACTTAGGTCCTTTTGAGAATGACCGATTCAATTTAGTACCAAATCTTGGGACATATTAAGTCTTTCTTTGCAATTTTTGTTTAAATTTGTAGTCAATTTAAACCTAAGAAATTTCAACAAATTTTTCTCCCATACACCCAGAATTTTTGTGCTTTTTAGCTACATACTTCTGAACATATCTCATGGGATGCAGCGTTATTCTACAGTTTTTTGAACCAGAAGGTAAATCTCTTTAAGGTTATTCTTCCAATTAATTTGAAAGATTCAAAGTTGATTTACTTTCTAGTTATGTTTTCTTCAATGCGACAATACTATTCTGATACACTTGCAGTCAGTAAGCAGGAAGATGAGTAGAAATAAAGACTTACCGATTTGCTCAGACAGCTTGGTTTGACACTTCCTGGTTCTCTTTCTCTTTGTCCAACAGTCTATAAATTTTAGCGATCAAGTCAGGTTTCCTATCTTTTGCTTGGACGATGACTCCGTTCTTGCGAAGGTAATACTGCAGAGTGGGAATGTTCACCTGTCCCAGCAGTCCTCTCTGCGCGTGATCTTTCATATCAATGCTGTCATTGACAGCAGCTTTTTTTGGTTTTTTCTCTGCCTGTTGGACACAACAAGAAGACAGACTTTCAACACATGGACAGTGCCGATACAAAGAAACATATTTTAATAGATCAATACGCAGGGTGAGAAATGAAGTATCATCACATGTGAAAGACCATTCAGAAAATGGGCGCATGTCCATTTGGTGCTGACAAGATTGTGTAACTTTGCCACTCTTTTCCTCTGCTGGAAATTTGCTTAACTTTGCAGAAAGTTTTGGGTGAATAACTTCATAAAATTACAGTTACACTATATAAGAGGAAAGTTCACACTGTCAAGTGAAAATAAATTGATTTTGGTCATTGTTATGTTGCACATACTATAAAAGGAGACATTTTCTTTTAGTTGCACCAATAGCGCTTGAATATTTGAAGAGTTGTTTGATAAATTTTAAATTATCCTACTGCTATCATATACTGTTGCCAGAGCAAACAGCACATCATAATCATTAGATTTTTTTAATGGATTTGACCGGGGTGAGCATTGAAAATATTAAAAACAAGACAAACTCGCATAAAAACTTGTTTTTATCACACACTCCACGGAAAGATTTTGGCACTTTTAACAGCAATACCAAATTTTTTCGAACATATTTTGTCTCTTTTTCGAAGATTTTAAGCGTATTAGAATTTTTAAAGGTGTACAAGTATTAGAATTTTTTAGGAGTACAAGTATTAGAATTTTTTAGGTGTACAAAGGAGTTTAAAAGAAAACAAAGTATTTTTAAATATCTGCTCAAAATATGCTGAAAGTGCTAAAAAAACATACCAAAACCTTTTCGTGGAGAGTTTTCTGATTTTGATTTATTAATGTAGTTTGGAATTACCGCTTTTTTATCAGAAATGATTTCAATGAGATTTCAAGTTCAGAATTTCCATGTTTTGTTGCGATCGTTGATTGGAATGCATTTTGCAATAAAGAAGGGCAATTTCTGACTCATAGATAAAAACATCTATTTGCGTAGGGAGACTAATAGCAAATATATTGTTTCTATTATGAACCAGAAATTGTAGTTCCTAATTGCAAAATGTAGTCCAATTTGTCCTGGTAGTTGGACTCTTTCATTTCAGTTCAACTTTTATTCGGCTGATTCTAAAAACCATGAACTGGCATCGGGGAACAGGAAGCCATGCACTGTTCGTTCAGCTGATTGGATTGTAAGGTTACTTACCGACGGCAACAGAGCATGTACAAAGTGTGCGGGACGTTTCATGGTCGGAGTCTGGCTATGATTATGATTGAGTCCTGGGTTCAGTGTTGTAATTTGGGCATTGGATGCTTGGAGGTGGGCAATTGAAAGAGCATTGGATGCGCTTCCCATTGGAACGAGAGGGGTACTATGAGCTGAGGACGTGCCTGTTTGCAACTCGTGAACAAGGTTGTTGTAGACGCTGGAAGAGGAGGCTGCATCAGAGATCTAAAATTCATGGGAAACACAAAATAATTAGAAATTATTCAACGCAACTGATGTATTTGAAAGGGGAGTTTTAAAGGAAGGTTGTCTACTGACGCATTTTGACAGAATATGTCTTATTTTATACAATTTTTTTGTATACAGATCCTCTCTACTTACTTAAAAATGAACTTCATTGTGTACGCCAAATTCAGTAAGACCACGATTCATTGGATTTCACAGGACTGGTGAATCTGTTAAATCATGGAATCCGTTAGTTCAAATGGCTTGAAGGCCTCAACGAGACCGGAAGATTGGTACATTAAATCGAGGAATCTATTTAGTCACAATCAAAGAAATCGAGGTCTTACTGTAAGTTTATGTACTTTTAGAGAAACGTTGAATGGGTCAGTCAATACCATCAAAAGTGCTGAAATTTCGGATCTGGCGAAGTAACAAAGCGTTGTGTAGATCAGTCATTATCAAGGGGTGCTTCTTGAAGGAAATGTTACGGAAAAGACAATATAACCATTTTTCAACTCCGATGTTTCATATTAACGAAGATGTAAGCTTTTGAAGGTTTCACATTATGTTCAAACTCTTCCATTGACTTGCTCAATTATGCGCCGAGGCTGACAAAGGACAATGTTTTAAAAAACTTTGGAAAAAGGGCATACCTTGCACCCTTGGATGGCAGATAACTATGTGCTTTACTTACTTCGCTTATCTGTAATTCCACTGAATGACTTGGACCAGCTTCAAACTCTGCTAAAGATTCTTCAACTTTTTCCTCAGCATTTTTAGCAACTTGTGGATGCGATGACAAATTTGGACAAGAAAGAGTCTGTGGAAATTCGAAATGATTAGTTAAAATTTTCATTGATTGTAACATTTTACATCTGTTGGTACCAATTGTGAGGATGAGAAGAATTTCTTCCGATATTTTTAAATTTAACGGTAAGTTCTAAATTAACTTAGACAGAGTTATTATTTTTCCAAATTATTGTTCTGATAATGGTAAAAATTCAAGAGATAGATAAATGAAAATTCCGCTATTTACCAGAGAGTTCAAAGATTTTCTGAAAATATTCAATTTCTTGTCATTTAAAACCCTGGAAATACCGTCGTTACAAAACTTAAAAGTTTGGGGTTTAGAAACACTTTTAAAAACTAAAATGAAGGATTATTACTGGCTTATCACTGAGTTTCAATTAGTAAAATTGAAAGCTTTTTGGGAAGATTTTCAAACATTTTCTAGCACTTTCAAGGATTTACAGGTATATTTGGAAGACCTAAACACTGTAGTATGGCTAGATCTGACAATATTGGTGTTAGTCCAGTTGCCATGTTTTCTTTTTGCCAAGAAGCTGGAAAAAAGAAAGTAGGAACCGCATGTGCCCTCTGCCATGCTAAGGAAAAACGCCATACGAACATCTGAGAATTGCCAAATTTCCTATGATCAAATGTTTATTTACAAGATAGGATGAGAATATTTTTTTTGACATTTTCAAAAACCTTAGGTGAAATTGCAAATAAAATAATCTGAAAAATCGGAAAAAAATTATTCATAAATTTACCAAGAAATTTGTATGTTATCAGAGGAAATTTGGCAACACCTTAAAGTTCAGACGGCGTTTTCACATACTTAGCATCCTACTGTCTCTTTGTAAACATAACTTGAACCGTCATTCTCAAGGGTGGCTGCAGTCTCATTTTCCTGCTAATTTGCAACATGGTTTGCATTCAACAAGAAGAGCCCAGTGAGTCAGAGACAAGTGACTGGAGTAAGGAGGGCTTGGAGAGCGCCTCTGCAAGGGTTCTTGAGCCCTGGGAAAAGACACTTCAACACTCAAGTTTTTTAATCTTCTGCGAAAACCTTTCAGCGAATATCTCGATAGGGTTTAGTTCTCTACATAGAACTACATTTCAGCAATTAATCGTAATCTTTTGGCCACATTGAGATCAGCTCTGCATCTGTGGTCACAGCATTCAAAGTATATTCTTGAGTTCATTTCTTTCCATCTAACCTCTACTCATATCTTTTTCATAGGTAAAGGGCAGTGCTTCAGGCGATCCCTTCCCCTACAACTATTAGGTAGGAGATTTTTCTTCCTAAACCTGTATTCTTAGCTACCAATAAATGAAGACATTGATGTAGAACATACTGCCTATGGAGAATTTGTGGGGAAAAAATGTATTGCTGCATCTGCGAGTGCTGAAGGAGCTGCGTTTACAGTATTTTTTAAGATTTTTCACCGACATAGGAAATGAAAAATCCTCTCAAAACTTGGAAGAAAGATATTTACAAATTTCCCTTGAATTTTGTATTTTATTAAGGGAAATTTGGCAACAACTGAAGGCTCGTACAACGTTCCTCCTTAGCACGGTTGTATAATTTCTGAAATCGAAGCTAATTCTAGGAGAAAATTGTGAAACAAATTCTAGGTCATCCTACAGCTTTTCAGGGCATCACAAGGCCTGGGGTTAAGTTCAGATTTGGCGTTCCAGGGGTACATTAATTACAACACCAAAGCACCGTCAATAGTATTAGAAACACAAGTACATTTTAATACCTCTATTGCTGGATTCAGCCGCAATGAAGGAAAACCAGGGGGGGTTACACAAAGACCTGGCAGCTTTTGATTGAGATCAAACGCAAAAATCTTGAGAACTTCATCAAGGTCAAAAGGCTGGACGACAATCAAGGGCCTTTGCTTTACGCACAGACTTGGGTATGTTAAGGGTTTCATGGAGGAGCCGTAACCAAATCGAACAGCGACGTAAAAGAGGCCTTCCTCTGTTTCAGGCAAAATGTAGCCATGCTGTGAATCACAAGATAAAAAAATAAATATTGTACCAACAGTTGGTTCTTAGTTTTCCCTAGAATTCGCTGTGTTTTTCAAGTGTTTTCCACCAAAAAAAGAAGTAGGGAAAACATTTTTTCCAATCGCTGAAAACTGTTCAAGTTTTTTTTATGAAATTTCTGACATTTACAGGCTCTCTCTTTCCGTTTTGTAGCTCAGTTCTTGAGAAATCAAAAGTTTTCCTAAAATTCTCTGAGTTCTTCAAGGTATTTCTCATCTATAAAAGACGTAAAAAGTAAACACTTTTTCCAAATGCTGAAAACTGCTCATGTCTTTTTTAGGAAATTCTTAACACTTACAAGTTTTCCCCGGTTATTAGACAGTTTTTAGAGACTCAAAATTCTATCTACAAAGAATTACATAGATTGCAGATTTAGCGATTAAATTGTTAAAAAATATGTCCGACAGGTTTCAAATGTAAATTTTACAATAGTGGAAGGTTAATTTAACCACAGGGGTATTAAAATTAGCATTTTTTTATTATAAAATCTACATTGAAAAGTGTCTGACACTTTTTTTAAACTACAAAATTATTATACCAGCAATATAATTTTTTTCCGTGTTCAAAAAGAAAGGCAGACACTACAGAATACAATTTAAATTAAAACAAGAGTGAGACAGTTCTAGCCTTCTTTATTTTCCCCACCGGTTTTCCACAACAATTTTCATCAATTTCAATTGAAATTCGATTTTTCTAAGCGCTGAAAAATATAGAATGAATTTGAGGGCTCAGATACCTTTTATTATAGTGCAATGTCCTTACACATGACTTTTCTACACCGTTAAAAATGCATCTTGCTGAGCTCTTTAAGGATTTTATACTTATGATTGATTTTAATATTTTCTTTTGATTGTTAATTTTAGTATTTACCTTATCATTAATTTTTGAATTGAATACTTACCTTATTGAACCAGAACTCCCTCAGCTTCTCGTAACTTGAATTATCGTCGGATGGGGGCATTTTGCTGCTTACTGTCTCAATCCTGGCCTCGGTCATTCTGGAAAATCAAATTACACGAGCTATGAAAGAAGACAGTTGAAAAAAAAAGCTTTTGGATATAATTCAGAAAACTGCAAAATTTATATTCCAGATTTGTATTCATCATACAAGAACATTTATTAAAGATTACTACAAATGAGCTCAAAAGGATATGTTTTTTAATTATTTATCCACAGGAAAAAGAGCTCTGAAGGCTTTTGTCCATATACAAACTAAAGCTCTCAAAGAGGCTTTCAATACTTTCGTCCGCCCTCTAATTGACCGGCGATGCAAGTTGCAATGCAAGCTTCTTGGAAACCTCTACTTTGCACTAGGATAAGGACCTTAACACATATAGACAAATCTTTCCAAAGAATAACTTTAGAAATTTTTGGTGCCGGGAACTAGAATTTGAGCGCCCCATAAGCAAACTGTTAGAATTCTTCAAATGGTTGTAAGCAATAGAGGTTTAATTTTGTGTCAAAAAAGAGAGTAATGTTGCTCTTCAGCAGGACAGTTTTGAGCCTTGAACTGGACGGTTTACAACTTTAGGCAACCTTTTTTCAAAACTATGTTTTTTGAACTAAAACATGTTCAATCGTCAAAACTTCAGTATCTTTTGACATTTAAGGTGCTAAGAAATTTTGTCCCGGAATGATTACGATTGAATTGTTCATTCTCAAAAAGACTTGAGCGCAAAAAAATCGAAAATTGAGCTTTTGGTGGTTTGGTATTGCTCAGATGCATCTTGCTACAAAATGACAGGCAAAGAAACGGATTTTTAAGGCCTAAAACACAACTGAAAAGTCCTGTCATTCTCAAAATGACCCAAGTGCCAAAGCGTTACATGAAACTGGCTTAACTTGAATTGATACATTTTGAATCTCTCGCGCAGTACCTCAAATTTTTTAGAGTGAGAGGGTGAATATTTGTTCCATAGACCAAATATGTCTTTGTTTTTGAAATTTTGTGAGTTTATTCAATGGCGATCATCAGTAAGTAAGATGTAATCGTAATTTATGTAGAGAAAGTGTAAAGGAATGTTTTCATGCACATTAAAACTTAAAACACTGAAAATTTGAATTTAAATGGGGGGAAAGGATGTTAAAAAGATTCCACTCATTCTCTAAAAGACTCAAGCGCCAAAGCATGGTTATTTTTTTTTGTCTTTTCCCATTAAAAATGTAAGAAAATTTCTGAAACAACAATAATCCGGTATTGAATTGCGATCCACTGAGACATTTATTTTGTTGACTTTCAAGATTTAGAACAGGTCGATTAAAACAGTTTCCACTGTGTTTCTGGAATTCTCATTTTTAGCACTAAGGTATTTTTGAGATAAAAAGATTCAATTGTTAAACTAAGAATCTAAATTTTCCTTAATTCTACTGAACTATAGCTAAAAATAGAGAAAAATCAGAGGATGGTGAAGAAAAAAAATTACCTCGGTAGAACAAAAATTTTTTTACCACTCATTGAAAAATCATAGATAAATTCACCAGGGACTGGTGTTAAATTTTGCTTCCGCTTCACTAAATCTTTCAGTGTCAATGGTGGGAGGCACACACGCACTGGCCGCACAGAGAGATGGGCATTATTTCCTGTGAGACAAAGATTGAAAACGTTAAAGTCTGCAGAATGTTCTCATAATTTTACACTATAGATAGTTACTTAATAAAACATGTTTCTGTTTACACATGAAAAATCAATTTAGTGTATTTATTTTATGAGTAATCCATGACAAAGAAGTCCAAAAATTACCTTTTGAAGGTAAACTAAGTTAACAACTTAGCTACCTGATAAGGTGAAATAATGAAAAAAAGGAACAAATTAATAATTTTATTCTAGTTTCAGAATATTAAGAAAAAATTGCCAAGTATTACAACCTAACAGTAAAAAAGTAAGTCCAAAAATGTAATTATAAAGCTGAGAGCGAGTGACAAGAAAGGTAAATTTCAAGGAATAGTCACTCTTCAAAAGGAGGGTAAGCAACTAGGGTAAAAGAATAAGGAAAAGGTGGGGCAAAGAACCGCGGGGATTACGTTGCTACACAAAAGAGGTTCAGTAAAGTTTGCAGAAAATTAATGTTTCAAGACCACAAAATTCATTAAATTGCATTTGTGACATTGATTAGGTATTTCTAGAATTCATAAAAGGGTGGACTTTGCAGACAGCACCTACCTTGTAAAATGATGTCTAATTGAACAGCACCCATTATATTCGGATTTGTCAAAAAGTTAGCACCACAAACAAGATATGGTTCGATGTAGTTCCATGCTGGACAGATTTTAGTGTGTATGGTGTACCGGAGACAGGCCTCGTAAATTTCTTGGCGAACTGGAAGTGGTGGGTTGTCCTGAAAAATGTATTTTCTCATTCAAAGAAGTATAAGAAAACCCCGATCATTAGACCGTTTAGTGATTCGATTATAAGTATCATATTTAAACTATTCCTTCATTTTTCTAGGCTATTACAGTAAAATTTTGGGAAAATTTCAGGCTCATTACTTAGACAACTTACTATGATAAAAAATAATTTCAGGATTTCGCATTTTGTACAAAAAACTCGCCACTTCCGTAAATTTTCCGATATTTGCACTTTTGTGAACATATTTTGTCCCTGCTTTTAGAGTCCATTTCTCTTCTTTTTCTCTGACCTTTTTCCTTCCCTCACTTTGCTCTTGCTTTTCTTGTCTAAGACCTTCCTAGTCTTTGACAGGATACCCAGCTTTGCAGGAGGTTAACTGGGAGGGGTTGGTTGTAACTCGAAGATTTTCAACGATTTCCTTTTGGTTTTTGTTGTCTATTGCTTCCTGTAATTTTGATAGACGATGCTTGGAATGTATAAATGCGATAGATTACTGTCATCCTGTTATCAATTTATTATCTGCAATACTTTCGATTCCAGCTCATTCTGTAGGAAACCCGAGTCAAATTGAAAGTAATTTGTAGAAATTTTTGTCCTTTTCTGAGGGATCAGTGTTAGCATCAGACATAAATGCACATCAAAATTACTCTTGAGTAGTAAATCAGGGTTGCCACAGAATTTAGAAAATGAAATTCCGTGACATTTCCCTGACAATTGAAGATGTGACGGATGGTTGAGAAGGCATAATTGTAACAGTTTTTGGGCAAAATTTGTTGTTCGAAACCTTAAACCCAATAAAGAAAACAAATGAAGGTGATTTAACAAATTTTCTATGACATTTTCTTCGACATTTCCTGGTTTTCCATGACTGTGGCGACCCTGAAATTACTCTTGAGTAGAAAATCCATCAAAAATTTGTAGTATTTTCTTATTTTTTTTCACTTAAGCAGGGGCGGAGCAAGAATTATTTTGAATCGGGACTTCAATGACTTTACACAGAGTTTTTACTTACGGATAAACTAAGAAAAGCCAGTAATGTTTGAAGTTTGCCCTCATTGTAAAATTCTTTAGTGCAGATGATATGAATTTGATTTGTTTTTCCAATGACGGGAGCTGCCATCAGTAAAGGATCGGCATGAATGAGCGTTCTGCAAAATTGAAAAATTCCAGAGATTAGCAAGACAAGAAAAATTGGAGCAGGAGATAATTTGTTCTGTAGGCTTTTCTATTGGTGGGTAAGTAAGGTGTCTACCAGTTATAAAAAACCAAAACTGGGGACTTTTAGGGGTGTTTTATCAAGAAAATTGGGGGACTTTTCCCCTGAAATAGTAAGAGAAAGGGAGCTAAAAAAGGCATATTTTATACGACTAATTTTACAAGTCATGTTATACCGATGAAAACATATGGAAAACTAAGCAACAATTCAGATTTTATTCCTGGTTATACCGCGCCACCGCAACTGGCAGGCAAATTTGAAAATGTCTGTGTTTAGGACGATTTTTGTCATGTTTTCGGGACCTGAACAAGAAAATTGGGGACTTTCGGGGATATTGGGGACACCCTTCCAAAATCGGGGATAAGGGGGGACATTGGGGACTTACGGGGACTGGCAGACACTCTGGTAAGTAAGTACAAAAAGTGAAATTGTTTGAATAACATTCATGGAAAAGCTAGAATATTTAATTTACTTATTTTATTATTCGGCAAGTAATAAATTTACTGCAAATGGAAGGAGGCCTGGGTCTGATTACCCAATCTCTGCAGCAACATTTGTTTAACATTGCTGCAATATCCCAAAAGCCTCGGCGATATTATAAGGGATGATGCATTGTTGCTGAAACAACATAACTTAATGGACAGACCTTGTGATCTGACTGCAAATAATGTCATGAAATGTTGCAGTATTCTCCAAGAGTATCAATAGGCATTTTTCAGGTAATAACACAAATTTCTACCTCAGAAGTATTTATGTACCTCAGCATAGGTATTTTTTCAATGATGATGTTAGGCTAATATTGACTGGCTATGGCTTCTCAGCAAAATTTCCTCCCATCTTGTTGCTTGTTAGAGTGAGTAAGATCGCTAACCTTTGAAAAGGACTGCACTGGATATTTCATTGAATTTAATGCTTGTTTTTATCAGTTTGGTCAACATTAAAGTAATGGTGGAATGGGAAACATGAGGTGCTGAATTCCTTCTTTTCAACAAATCGTTAGGATACTTTTGTTTGAAAGAAACAAAGATATATACCTGCATTTCATGACGGCAAAGAAATGATTTGAGCTGTATGTATTCTTTGGAGCCCGAGTCCCCGTCTGTTGAGCCTGGACGTACCATAAATCACTGGGTTTTGGGACAGAGACAAGCATCACACCCTTCTGGTTGCTTGAATACGACATCTTCACTTCAGATTTCGAATCTTGGGAATTTCGACAAAAGAAAGAGGAACTGTCTTGTGTTGCTTGGAAAAGAAATCAACAATACCTTTGAAGAGGTCCTTTACCTGCACAAAACAAAACACACACAAAATGAAATCATACAATTGGCGATGCTATAATGACAGCAAAACAAGAGTTTGCCGCTTCATTATTAATTATTTTAAAGAGGGTTCCTCGATGCTCGTGTCAGCATGACGCTGAAAAATCTAGAATACTTGCTCTCAGTTGAGCGGAGTTTACAGCTTGCAACAGCTGTTGTGCCCATGTTTTTTTTTTTTTTTTTTTTTTTTTTTTTCCACATAAAGGAACACTTTCTTCACCTTCGTTACAGGTGACGAATCTTACCTAGATTTCAGTCTCATAGGAAGAATCTGTCTGATTTAACTTCAATTCTGCATTAGGATACCTTAGGTCCACTTGAAGTAAGTTTACAGATTTGCGGCAAGTGAGATGGAAAATGTGCCATTTTGAATTGAGAGGTTGACTCTCTATGCTAAAAGGAAGATCTTCTGTCTTGCTGTAGAGGTTGGTTTTCTTTACTTGGTAAAAACATAATCTCTTTCAGAACTTATTTGCTAACAGCTGCATCTTAATGAGAAATCTTTCAGAAGGGAGTTTCCTCAAAATCAACTTCCTTTCAGAATGAAGTAGGTACTGGCATTAGAATTTAAGAGCCTTCTTTAAAAATCCTTCTCAATCACAGGAGACATGTAAGCATAATGTAAGTCTATTTATCAATATTGAAAACAAACTGATCTCTGAAGGTTGGGATTTGACAGAAGTTATAGCGGGTATTCTGTAATGAACTCTTCTGTCTTTTCAAATGAACTGCCACAGCATTTGCTAGGTTTTAGAGGTCGTTTAGAGTGACTTGTGAAGTTGTCGGAAGTCGCTCTCCAAAGATGATTTACGTTCAAACCTCGTCAAGGTAGCAAACATTTGCAAAATTAATTTCACAAATTAGAACAGATCAGCGAATAAAAGAGTGCCACATGCCACCATCATTGCTGTCCACATGCACTCCAGTCTAAATCTGGATAGACCACTTGAAAAAGTGTCAGGCACTCATATTAAGAGATGAGCCCAGTTACACCCTTTGCAATGATTGAGGTTCTCTGTAGAAGTCAAATGAGTTTCACCAATGTTCGCCTGTTTGGACTGGGCTGAAGTAGGTATTTACAGGGTTGCAGAATTAAAACAAATAGTCTAAAAGAATTGTATCCGACCAAAATGGCATCGTGTTTCTAGCGGATTGACGTTTATCAATGTTTTGTGCTGTAAGAAAAGTTAGAAACAATAAGTAAATTGAATGATGATTTTGTACTTTGGAAGGCTGATAAATGGTTCTCTAGTTGAGACATCTTAAGAAATTCAGACTCACTAGTGACATTGTTTCCTTCCATTCAGAAAGGCAACAATGTTTCCAAGCATGAATTGTCGAAATTTGTGAATTAATTGACTTAGGAAGGCAATGAGAGTGCTCGGAAACAGGAAGGTATCAGCGAAACCATGGCCAAACCTCCATAGCAGAACGCAGTCAAAAGAGACAGAAAATCAACTGAAAAAAGTCTAGTTGCCACATTGATGAGTGCAAATGGGACAAAACAAATTAACAAAAGAGTGGCGAATACTTACGAGCGCAATTAGTCAAAATTTCAAGTCAAACAACTAACAAGGATGAAGCCGATGAAAATTTTCCTCACATTTCTGCAATTCTTCGCGCCGAGAATTTTCCATAGAGTACAATAGAGTCGCAAAGTACTGGATCGCCGATGAAGTCACTTTTCGAGGCTGTTTTGTCCAGTTCTCCGGAGACTTGTGTGCGGCGACTAGCGATGACGCATACGCAGAGACTCGCGCTCAGCGCTCCCCACTCCCGACAGTCCCGACTCGGCTCCGTTCGTCGGCTATACACACACTGAACCAGCTAAAAAAAAGTAGGCCGGTAATAAGTCTGAAATTGAGTCCATATATGAATATTATCTCGGAGTAACATACATTAATGGATTCATTATGGCTTTGAATATCTATTTCAAGCAAAATTTGCACAAATTAATACCGATGGAATTAAAATAAGTCGAAAAAACACAAGCAGTTGTTGATTTCTCCATAAGCCACCGTGTAAAAAAATGCCGGTTGGTTCACACTTAAGTGTGAACCAACCAATTCATATAGGAATTTAATTTCTGACTTATACCAATTGGTATAAGTCAGAAATTAAATTCCTATATGAATTTTATCCAGGAGTAATATACATCAATGGATTCATTATGACTTTGACTATCTAATTATAGCAAAATTTGCACAAATTAATATCGATG